TCTTTATGTTTTTTTAATTAATTGTTTTCATATATATTAAAAATGTCGCACAAGCATTACTTAATTTGGAAGATAAAAGTTTCAATGTTAGAGTTCGTTTCATAATTTGCAGAAATTTCCGTTCTAAATTTGATAGTTGAACGCATATTCAGTTTGTTTGTTACGCAATGATGTGATCTTTGTTTCATATGTTAACGATCGAAAGGTGCTGAAGATGACCGCACTTCTGTTGCATAAAACTTTTTTTTGCGTTGACCCAAACGTCCAAAATCCCTTAGATCACATTTTGCTAATCTTGACAAGGTATGATTTGTTGAAAATAGCGTGCACGTTTCTAAGCATGTGCGCTACTAGATATTTTGCTCACGTATAATGTCACTGCGAGTATATTACGCATAACTTGCTCAATGGTATATACTGTTCACAATGAAGTAGATCATTATTGTTATAGGGTGGATCAAGATGGAGAAAGTCGACAAGTACGTATTATGTGGTACCGAGTTGCATCATAATGTAAACAGAGTATATATTGATTCAAGCTAACTAAACTGAAATAAATACTTAACGTGTCATCGTACATTTAATATAAGTCTATTGTTCCGCTTAAACCCAGGAAACACACTATAAAGTAACCCGTGAATACGTATAGTGTGTGAAAAAAACATTTTTGAGTTTTGAAATCCACACAAATTCAGAGATTTTGGATCAACAGGCCAAATTTTGATAATAACATGCCTGAACATTCTTTTCTAAATATTTGAGACAGCCCTTTAATGTAGGGTAAGTATGCAATCTTACTCAACCTTAAATTTGACATACTAATATCCCATACTGAAGACAGTTCTTTGTTATGATAAAGATGATCAAGAATGTTCTTTATATACCCAACTTCTATTACCTGGGTACATAGATTAATCTGACTGGTTATGTACGGGGCGGAGAGACGCAAATAAGAATATTCAAGTTAACTTTCACAAGGAAAAATGTTTTCTATAAAATGAATACAGCGCTGTACAGCACTGGCTTTCACACTTTTGGCATCATGTGCCCGATAATGTGTTGACTTGGCGACTGGCGAGAGAAATGTTAAGCCGACAAGCCTTATTATTGTATATAAGTTCACGTATTCTGTGTTCTTATGTGTAGGGTCAAAATATGAAACTCCTTTGGGTGTGTTAATAAAGTGAGTTAACCTTGACAAAAAACATATATGTTCAATTAAAATGTCTTATTGTGAAACAAGGTAAACCCATTTGTCATTAAATGGCCATGCCAACCAGTTTGATAAAAAAAAAAACGATGCCTTTCTAAGTTAGCATAACCGCAGTGGAAGATATTTAGGTACACCAATAAAGACGGAAGTATCTTCAGACTCGACAAACACTTATTGGTGATAATATTTAAATAACAACTGGCAGCGATACCAGACTCACTGTTCCTATTTTAATCTTATATTTACAGTTTGATTATATATGGTTTTTCAAGCCTTTTGAAATTAGGTTTTTCCATATTGCTATAAATAGATCCAGGTAATGCTAGTAAAAGATCGATGTTGTCAAGTGAGAAAGTTGGTTTTCGTGAGTCAATCAGGTGATAGGACCTGGGTAGAATAGGTTTTCAGCAACCCATGCTTGCCGTAAAAGGTTGACTATAGACTATATGCTTGTCGAAATAGGCGACTAACGGCACTGGGTGGTCAGGCTCGCTGACTTGGTTGAGGCTGGTCATCGTATCCCATTTGCGTAGATCGATGTTCATGGATTGTCTGGTCTAGACTGGATTATTTACATATAACTGGAATATAGCTGAGTGCGGCGTTAGACAACAAACACATGATCAGACCATCCGTCACCACTCGCCCCTTTCCGTAACCTGCAAGAAGAGGCTTGTCCCGGAATAACACGAGTTGGTCACGAATGTTGCTCAGGTTAAACTAATAGAGATGTGCATGTACACGTGTGCCTATATTTAGCTTCAGGTTGACAATCTATGGCAATATATAACACTGAATCTGATCGGCTTAGGTTAATCTGGCGCTTTTTGGTGCACCTTTTTTTCACAATCGTTTCATAAAGTGAGCTATCTGTGGATTTAGGGTTCCATGAAACCCGTTAATCCGAACAGTTCCAAGTTAAATAGTTGATTAACAAATGTCCGAATTAACGGATATGAATTCGTTGTTTGACGTTGTAGAGGTACCTAGAGTGAGGTTTCCGAATTAACGGGGTTCGGATAAATGGGGGTTCATTGTATATCTGATGCGTCTGCATAAATATCCCCGTGAAGCCAGGCAGAAAGTGAGTGAGTGAGTAAGTATGGTTTTACGCCGCTTTTAGCAATTCCAGCAATATCACGGCGGGGAACACCAGAAATGGGCTTCACACATTGCACCCATGTCGGGAATCGAAACCCGGGCCTTAGGCGTGACGAGCGAACGCTTAAACCACTAGGCTACCCGACCACCCCCCAGGCAGAAAGACTTCATGACGACTGACTTTATCCGGAGACTCGACATTAACACGTTGAGATTGTCTTGCAATGTAACTGCAGGTTGTAATTTGTTTATATTCGATAGTTCAAGATGCTGTCTGGTAGGGGTGCTGCTAAATGATGAAATGTTGTTCATTTGAAATACTCACAGAAAATCATCTTTCCTGATATATACATGTATAAAACAGGTGTTTTGTTACAGGAGTCGGTGAGCTATACTATGCAGAAATATCGCGGCGTGTCAGCTTAATGTGGGAGGAAAGGCCGAAGTGATGCAGGTCTCAGACGTTTACCGCTTTGGTATGGTGCTATCACTCACTACAGGTGTCTGACTGTACTCTCACTACAGGTGTCCGGCAAATCACTCACTACAGGTGTCTGACCGATCACTCACTACATGTGTCTGACTGTACTCTCACTACAGGTGTCCAACCCATCACTCACTACAGGTATTCGGCCAATCACTCACTACAGGTGTCTGACCGATCACTCACTACAGGTGTCCGACTATACACTCACTACAGGTGTCTGTCTGTACTCTCACTACAGGAGTCCGGCCAATCAGTCACTACAGGTGTCTGTCTGTACTCTTACTACAGGAGTCCGGCCAACCAGTCACTACAGGTGTCTGACTTATCACTCACTACAGGTATCTGACTGTACTCTCACTCAAGGTGTCCGACACATCACTCACTACAGGTGTCTGACCGATCACTCACTACAGGTGTCTGACTGTACTCTCACTACAAGTGTCCGGCTCATCACTCACTACAGGTGTCTGACCGATCACTCACTACAGGTGTCTGACTGTACACTTACTACAGGTGTCTGTCTGTACTCTCACTACAGGTGTCTGACTGTACTCTCACTACAGGAGTCCGGCCCATCACTCGCTACAGGTGTCTGACTATACATTCAATACAGATGTCTGACTATACACTTACTACAGGTGTCTGACTGTACACTCACTACACGTGTCTGACCCGTCACTCACTACATGTGTCTGACTGTACACTTACTACAGGTGTCTGACCAATCACTCACTACAGGTGTCTGACTGTACACTCACTACAGGTGTCTGACTATACACTCACTACAGTTGTCTGACTGTACACGTACTGTAGGTGTCTGACTATACACTTACTACAGGTGTCTGACGATACACTCACTACAGGTGTCTCACTATACACTCACTACAGGTGTCTGACTGAACACTCACTACAGGTGTCTGACTGTACACTCACTACATATGTCTGACTATACACTTACTACAGGTGTGTGACTATTCACTTACTACAAATATCTGACCCATCACTTACAACAGGTGACTGACTGTACACTCACTACAGGTGTCTGACTGTAATCTCACTACAAGTGTCTGACCCCTCACTCACAACAGGTGTCTGACTGTACACTTACTACAGTTGTCTGACTATACACTCACTACAGGTGTCTGACCCCTCACTCACTACAGGTGTCTGACCCATCACTCACTACAGGTGTCTGACTGTAAACTCACTACAGCTGTCCGACCCCTCACTCACTACAGGTGTCTGACTGTACACTTACTACAGGTGTCTGACCAATCACTCACTACAGGTGTCTGACTGTACACTCACTACAGGTGTCTGACTATACACTCACTACAGTTGTCTGACTGTACACTTACTATAGGTGTCTGACTATACACTTACTACAGGTGTCTGACGATACACTCACTACAGGTGTCTGACTGTACTCTTACTACAGGTGTCTCACTATACACTTACTACAGGTGTCTGACTGTACACTCACTATAGGTGTCTGACCCATCACTCACTATAGGTGTCTGACCCATCACTCACTACAGGTGTCCGACCCATCACTCACTATAGGTGTACGACCCATCACTCACTACAGGTGTCCGACCCATCACTCACTATAGGTGTCTGACCCATCACTCACTACAGGTGTCCGACCCATCACTCACTACAGTTGTCCGACCCATCACTCACCACAGGTGTCTGACTGTACACTCCTAGTACATTCCCTAGTGCTGTAGACATCCTCTACACAGAACTAGACTGCAGTTCATAAGATGTATATATAGCAGCTTAGTTAATGGACGCGTCACATGAACTTGTCATAAATAATTTTATGCAGTTTCTTAACATGTAAGTGTAGTCACATACGTTACTCAATATACAACAGTATTAGGGAAGAGTTGTCTCCCCTATACCACGGGAATGACAACTCCAATGACGTTCAGATTTCACAGGTTCTATGATCTTCATGCATTAATACTTGTAGAACTGTTATACTGGAAGACACCTATAGAACCTGTAAATACCCCAGATACCTTTTTTGATGTGAGTGAGTTAAAATGTGTTGCAGCAATTTACAAAATGGTACTGTTGACACACTACTGTATGTTGCATACAGGTCTAGATTGCAGGTCATGGGTGTATATCAACAGTTGAGTTTATGGACCCACAATTTGAACTAGTCATAAATAACTTATTCAGTTTCTTTAAATTGAAGTGTTTATTTACCATAACAATGTATCTACATATAAAAATATTCAGTTTCTGGTCAACTGCATTACAAAAATATTTTCCAAACAACAAGAAGTGAAAAATGCACACTTCTTGAAGTCTTTGAAGGCAACAATGGAAAGATAGAAAAAAACAATAGATATATATATGTAAGTTCACATTCATAAACAAAATTGTCTGACATACGCAGTGAAGGTTGAAGGGTTCTCCCTCTGAGACTTCCCTTGGGTTTAACGTCGCGTCCAAGAATATTGCAATTATATAGCGACGTGCATTCACATGTGTTTGTGTGTGGCTGCTTGTACTAGTCCGGACTGATGCCGATTTATAGTGCTAGCACACTGAGATATACCATGCCGCAGTTTAACATGAATAGCCCACTCAGACACAGTATACTGACTCCGAGCCGACCAGTCCTTGTTTTAGCCCCTTAATGCCTGTAGTAAGAGTACAGTCAGACACCATCTTTTGGTATGACGCGGCCGGGGATCAAACCCCGGACCTCTAGGTCTACCACTAGACCAGGGAGCACTCCATTTGAGCATTTAAGTAGGGAGATCACCAAGTCATATCAACTAACTCAGGCCAAAACCTGCTTTATAGGAAAAGTGAAATAAAACATCAATAAGTGAATAATAAACAAACGTATTACAGCATCACACATGACAAATGAATTCGAGAGCAGTGGTGAAACAGTACAAGCGGAGAGTTAAGTAAGGATAAGATTTATGGATGAAGATTTACTGACTTCGCCGATCATTATGTTTACTACCCTTTTTGTGTACATAACAGGCTTCTCCACTCCAGTGTAACTACATCTGACATCTACTCTACTGTATCAACAATGCCTCCTACCTGTATATATACTTGTCAACCATACTCTGTACACACTTACTTGATAATGGTGTTAGAACCTACATCAAAATTTCGCTCATAATCATAGTAAAGGAGTTGTTCATCCATAAATCCTATCCTTACTTAGTACTCCACTGACTGACCGACTGAGTATGGTTTTACTCCGCTTTTAGTAATATTCCAGCAATATCACGGCGGGGGACACCGGAAATGGGCTTCACACATTGTACCCATGTCGGGAATCGAACCCGGATCTTCGGCATGACGAGCGAATGCTTTAACCACTAGCCTACCTGACCGCCCCACTTAGTACTCCAACTTCTAAATGCCTCTCAAAGAAGTTAAGCGGAGAGTTGCCTCCCCTATACCATACGAAAAACAATTCAGATGTTCTCATTCGTCAACTTAAATCCGAATCTACACAGAGCACCATAGTACATGTACATATTCCATATCAGCATGCTTACAAGAGTCAGGTGAATCGAATCATCTTGTTTCTTCTGCAGTAACAGTTAGAACCAGAATCAAAACTGTGCGATCTCTTCCGTGCTAAGGGAAACGTAGTCCTCACATTTCCATTTACTCGGCGTGAATCCAGACCACGAATGTCAAGGACATTCTCCAAGTTCTGAACAAGAGTATCCATTCGTGAGTGAATGCTGGCATCGGTTGGCAGAACTGGTCGGGGGGCAGGTGCTGGGGCAGGTGCTTGATCAGGTTCTATGGCACTCTGAGACTTCTGAGACTGTGACTGAATATCTACTGGGCCACGTGGTTGGAGAGTGTGTTTATCGTCTGTCACTTCATGTCCGTCCTTCATCGTCTCAGAGCGTTGCCATGACATCACATCATTTGGTGTATGGTCAGAAGGAGCATCTCTCTGAAGAAAACGATTTGTGATGCAGTTCACAACAAAAATCCATTAAGTTAAACCCCAAAAGGTAATACCCCAGGCTGCCAATTTCCATGAATATTCAGATGATAGACATAACAACTTGAACGTCTGAGGTATAACAACAGGGCAAAACTAATTTATGTAAGTTATAATTTTCCTATAGTTTGGCCAATTTACGGGTTTTCTTACCTTGGGAGACCTGGCTTCATTCTGAGGCACGTTTTGTGTACTTTCGTCACATTCATATAACAACAGAGACTGAAATGAAAAAATAAAAAAATGTATTGGCACTACTGCTTTATTTTTGTGTATTTGGCTTGTATGTTATTCAGAAGTACTGTTATATATGATAAGATAAACAAACATTTCGTCATGTTTTAACATACAATATTACCTCGTTAAATTGAAAACTTTCAATTTCATTAAATTGGAGGAGGTTTGGTATGTTTAGAAATTCTTCCAAGGCATCAAGGGTATTTTCAGAACTGCTTTTACTATCTTCTATTGAGGATGAAAGTAGCATGTTGGCTTCATCGCCTGCAACAGCTGCACCACGTGGACAGTCTGGCTGAGGGAGCGGGGGTGACCCCTCCTTGATCTCTACATCATGACCTCCGTCTTCATCAAAGTCTTCATCTACATCTCCTTCGCTCTCTTCTTCCTCAACCTGCTCTTCTACTGCTCCCTGCAATGAAAGGGTGACCGTTGTTTTATGCCAAGGTCAGAGACATTCCATCTATATCCTAACAGCATATCAATACTAGATCAGGTCATCGTGCCCCGAAGTCGTGGGATGTTGTTCATATTTTCATTCAGTCAGTCTGACCACCTGATCAAGTTTAGTCGACTCTGCGACAAGCATATATTACTCGGAAATAATTCTACTCTGGAATTGCCACATGATCATATAAATGAAAACTGGTCACTCTCACACCAAAGATTGCATGTTATAAGCATGATAAGTGTCAAAATATCCAACAATAAAATCTGATTATTCACATTAAAATTAGATCATTAATTTACCATCAGTGTTTTAGTTTATACAAATAATACAGGTTAGTTGTATTCCAAATTATGAATGTAATAATTCAAAATTACCTGTCGGTAGAAGGCAACATGCTGCAGCTGGAGGCCATGGACAGCTCTCTGGGCTTTTCTTCGTTCATCTTCAGGCAGGAGACTCATTTCATTATCCAACTCCCTGGCTTTGACCAGAATCTTCCTCTTTTTAACAGCCCAGTCCAGCACATCTAAATTTAGCCTCTTTATGTCATTTATATTGTCTCTGAGGAGCAGAAACTCATCCACATACAAGTCAGAGGTATCATGGTTGTCACAGAGGGTAAGCAGGCCAAGACGTGAAATCAAGGCGAGGAGTGTGTCCCTGTCTTGTCCGCTATTTCGTGGATCAGGCAATCGGAACTGCTTCCAAGGTATATTCTTCTTTTTCCAACCTTTCAACCTCCGGACTAACTCAGAATACATCTCTTTCAGCCAGTCATTCAAGATCACATCGGGACTGGGGTTTCTCTCAATGTCCCCACTACAAATAGTCACTTGGCTGATCACACTCTTGCGATGTTCAGCATTCCGTGTACGGCTTAAACCACGACCTCTCACAAGTGTCAGAACGATCAGCAAAAGCCAGGCCAAGATCAGCAGGGAATGTGCCTTTTGGATTGGAGGCGCAGAATCATCTTCTTCATCACATATTAGATCTACTGGAAAAGAACTCATCAAACTATATGCATCAAGTGTTGATCCGCTTAGGAATGTTTGCAGCATTATCTTCATATCAGCTGTTTTAGCCCCTTTGATGTTCTGAAGGAGTCTTACAGACTTTGCTATATCATCGTTATTCACACCACGTCTCTTTGCTTCTTCCCATGACCTCCTAATCATTCCACTCTTTGAAGCCTGCATTAATATACTTCTCAATATCCGTGATTGCTCAGCTTCCTGAACCAGGTATTTCAATAGACCATGCTGTACAACTTGTATAAATAGTTCCTCTAAGACTTTATCCTTCACAACCTTTGTCACAAAGTTGCAAATTCCAGCAACTCTCAGGGCTTCTCTCAACACAATATCACCATATGCCTCTGTAGCAACGTGTCCTAGCTGGTCACATCTTGCAGCCGCTTGTAGTGCATCCATCAAAACACCAGCTTCCTTCGCTTTTGCCATAGTCATTCCAAGCAGGCCACATCCTGCAGCTGCTTGTAGTACATGCATCAAAACAGCAGCTTCCTTCGCTGCTGCCACAGTCATTTCTAGCAGGCCACATCCTGCAGCTGCTTGTAGTACATCCGCCAAAACACCAGCTTCCTTCGCTGCTGCCAGAGTCATTCCAAGCCGGCCACATCCTGCAGCTGCTTGTAGTACATCAGCCAAAACACCAGCTTCCTTCGCTGCTGCCAGAGTCATTCCAAGCCGGCCACATCCTGCAGCTGCTTGTAGTACATCCACCAAAACACCAGCTTCCTTCGCTACTGTCAGTATTGCTGACAACTTCCATTGGCTTTTGATCTCAAAACAAAACAGACCTTTCCCACTCTGTATAGCACCTTCAAGTACATTTCTCATTACACCAGCTTTTGTAGCTTGTTCAACTAATTTCCGCTGCACAATATCTATTTCAGGATATGTGAGTGCCTTGAAAATAGATCTAGGCCTACTCCCCAAAACATGGACTATGCGAAAAATGAAACACCTCATATCATTTGTTGCTTCTTGTGCGACCTTCTCAGCTTCTTCGTGAACATCCAGTACACCACCGTCGACGGCTCCTGCAACTGCTTCTTCATATCGTCCACAACGATGCGCCGCCTCAAGAATATCTCTCAACAGTCCCGCGTCCTTTGCTTCTTTCATTACATGTCTCCAAATGTCACGTGATTCACGTCCTCCGGAACTCTTTGGTAAGACTAATAGTAGATCTTGATGATTGGCTGTATTTAAGATCTTTCTCAACAAGCCACATTTTATAACCGCCCCCAGTATTAGCTCTATATACCTTGAAGTAGCAACCATGTTTTCAATATGGCCTGCATCAAGCTGTCAAAGTCAGATTTGCGATACACAACCCTTTGCGGTGGGATGTTACCGCCGCACGACTGATGAAAGTATCCCAACCGCTCTTCATTGTTTCAGCAGGTATACCCGCACTGCTCTAGATCATCTTCAACTGCACTGACTTTGGACACTTGGTCAGTCTCAACACAGCACTGTCCGCATACATGTGAGTCTGTTAAAATACTCACCTTGTACTTCCTGGGTAAGAAGATTAATCCGACTGGTCATGTACGACATTTCACAGTCGGTTTCAGCCAATGAAAAATATGCTTACAGATTACACAGCTGCTAATGTTACATGTTGAATCATTGGATGAGGTTAGTCTGATTGCAGAGATCGGATATTTCCGCCGATGACGTAAAATTACGGAATATTCCGAATTTCAGGAACAAGGCAAATGGTCATGGTCATAACCGCAGTGGAAGATATTTAGGTACCGCAACAACGACGGAGCTATTTTTACACTCGATAAACACTTATTTGTGATAATATTTAAACAAACATTGGCAGCCTTACCAGATTCATTGTTCCTGATTTAATCTTTGTTTATAGTTTGATTACATCTGTTTTTTCCAAGCCTATTAAAATTAGGGTTTTCCCCACTTACCTATAATTAGATCAAGGGAAGATAGTTGGTGTTCGTGAGTTCACGTGTTTTATCACAAGGGCAAACGCAGAAGTCCAATAGGTAAGCTATGGTGGAAAATGAACAATATGTGCATTCTTCATTTCCAAATCTAAAAGAAAACCTGCCACACGTTTTATGAGATATGTCGACACTGATCATGAAAAAAGGCACATGTCTTATGACTCACAAGATACCTTTCCAACTTTATTTATTTCTACATCCTCATATATCTTCACCTGTCAATCGGGTGATAAGACCGGGGTAGAATAGGTCTTCAGCAACCCATGCTTGCCGTAAAAGTCAACTATGCTTGTCGCAAGAGCTAGGCGACTAACGGGATCGGGTGGTCAGGCTCGCTGACTTGGTTGAAGCTGGTCATCGTATCCCAGTTGCGTAGATCGATGTTCATGGATTGTCTGGCCTAGACTGGATTATTTACATATAACTGGAATGTAGCTGAGTGCGGCGTTAGACAACAAACACTTAACAAACACATGATCAGACATGCAGTTGATTAAAGTTCTATCCGATCTGATTCGTCGAGGTTGAACTTGCAGAAGTACAATTACGTGTGTATCTATATTTAGCCTAAATTTGGTTAAATCAGGGCTAGATAAAACTTTGAATGTAATGGGTTCAGGTTAAACTAGTAGATGTGTACATATACACGCGTGCCTATATTTAGCTTCAGCTTGCCAATCTAGGGCTAAATATAACACTGAATCTGATTGGCTGAGGTTAAGCTTTTTCGTGCAATATTGTTCACATCCGTTTCCTGAATTGAGCTATAAGTGGATTTAGAGTTTAGTGAAACCCGTTAATCCGGACAGTTTCCTGGTTAATTCGTTTGTATTAACAAATGTGCGGATTAACAGATGTCCGTATCAACGAATTACGTCGTTTGACGTAGAAGACGTTCCAAGACTGACTTTACTCAGAGATTCGACATTAAATCGTGGAGATTGTCTTTTGGAAGTGATCTGCAATGTGAGTGCAGGTTGTAATTTGTTTATATTTGATAGTACAAGATGTTGTCTTTTACGGGGGTGCTATTTGATTAAATGTTGTACATTTGAAATTAGTTTAACACCATATTTACAGTATTACAGTTACATCATGGCGTGTAAGCTTAATGTGGGATCGTCACGATATGGCTGAAATATTGCCGATGTGACGTTAAACTTTAACTCACTCACTCACTTAAAGTGGGAGGAAAGACCGAGGTGATGCAGGTCTCAGACGTTTACCACTTTGGTGAAATGTACGAGCACGGGTATGGTGCTGACAAATTAAGAAACATAATCGAACCAAGATCCAAACCCACAATCATAGGTTTCTGGCCTGTCCGTAGGGTTGGTTGTTGGTTGGTTTGTTGTTTAACGCTGCACTCAGCAATATTCCAGTAGGGATGCAACTCTGCAAAGTTAAGATATTTTCGAATATAAAGCGGCCAAAACCCCAACCCACTCGCTCTCTTACTCCCCTCAAATTGAGTTTAGAATTTAAGCTGACGCTGTAGCAGGTGAGCTACAGCACCGTGGTTCTGTTTCGATAAAAACATACACACCTTAAGACACATTTGAAGATGGTCATGCACTCTGAATATAAACGTACATTAATACAGCTTCAATCTATCCATCTATCTATCTTTACAGCTAAAATGGATAGAATTATCATTAAACCACCGCGTGTTATCAGAAATGAGCGGGCCACTGTAACTTGATAATGCCCTCATATTACTTGACGACGGGCCATTATCACGCCCGTTGTTAGGTGACGTCATAGGATAGGATCGGTGACGTCACGGTCAATAGTGACGTCATCTGATTTGTTCTATGACGTTTCCATATTTGTAAAAGTGGGTCAGTGACATTCGTGTTGATTGCAGTAAATGTTTCAAACACGATATTGTTGTTTCTTTTTATTTGATAAAAAATTCCATCCATTTTAGTCGGGCAGTTAATGGAAGACCTCGGGCTTCTGCAAATGATAATGCCCGGAAAAATAGCGTTACCCTTATATTATTCTGATTCTAGTATCAATAAATAAAGGCAGTTTTGTTTTCTTCCGGGTATTAACGATTTGTAAGATATTAAGACTTAAAACTGCACTTGTTGCACTGAATGTGCTTTTTGTAGCTACATATTTCTATCATGAGACGTAGATAATTCTGTCTTTTATTCTATTACAATAATACAGCAAACACAGTAAACGTGCCGATTTAACTGGGGTAAGTGTGGTTCGAATTATTGGACTTAAATTGTTGGTACGTACATTTATTATAAATATACATGTACATAATTAAATATTAAGATGTTACATTAACCAGATGAAGCTTAATCAGCGAATCTTAATCAGTGTGACTACATGACTATAGGAAAATTCTAGCCGATCCAAGGTTGAGGTTAAACCAGCGACAGCTATAAATATCCTCATTGCCCATATTTGTTTTTCCGGGGCTTAATTTAAGGTTATATCTGATTGGTCTAGGTTAAGCTGGCGCTGTCGTTGTACATGACTTATCAAGGGACTATATAGTGACCTATATTTGGCAACCCACCCACATGTATACACGGTACCTGGGGCGCTATTCATAAACATTCTTATACATATAACCCTCTAGTCCTCACCACCCGTGCTATACGGTGCGTGTCCCTTGTTGTTGTGTTAGATAGGGCTGTTAGCAGTTGGCTGTTAGAGATGAAAGTGACACATTATTTCGAAGACCTATTTTACACACGTAGTCAGGAATAGCATGATGACTGGCCCTTATACAGTACAGTAAACTACGTTTATAACGAACACGCTTATAACGAACAGACGGATATAACGAACTGTTTTTTTTTTGTCCCGGCCACTTTCTGTATAGATGCTGTATATATGCTCATAACGAACTACGGTTATAACGAACTAAAATTAGTCGCCCCTTTGAGTTCGTTATAACCGTAGTTTACTGTACATCCATTGCTACACCCAACGGAAAACATCCATTTTGTTGGTCATTTTCCACAGCTATTTAAAAATGTTCAAGTACATGTGTACGATCGATTAGCTTTAAAATGATGATGACTGGTATCAAAGTTCGGGGAATATAGTACATATAGTAATATAATACAGAAATATTAAAAAAAATAATGTTATTACATTTATTGTTGCCACATAAAACAAAAACCTTCTTCTGGTTAAACAAATAAAAGGGATACTCTAACACATCACTTTCTGAGAGAAAAAAGAAAAAAGAAAGAAGATCACATTTATAACGACGTTTATTCGGTATCACCTGGCCAAGAGTACAAAACATGAGATAAATCTTTTACATATGGACAGGAGGGACAAATGTTGTAGTATCTCAATACAATATTTAGGAAACAGTGTGCAGGCATATTTCTTTTCAAATATAAGTATTATGTTTGATAAGCTAAACATTTTTTGCTCGTGGTGGATACACGTAATTGTAGCTTGGGATGCAGAGCTTCCCGTTTTCCATATAAAATGGACAAACTAATCTGAATTGGTATTCATCTTCAATTACATTATGATTACATTTATTTCACTAAAATAAATCAGTATTGACTTTATCATTTATATCGAAATTGTTGAATACCAAACTTATGGCTCAGACGTATGAATTACATAATATGCGGATGAGATCTTCATCAGCCATAACTCCATATTATATATCTCTGGTTCGAGTAAAGTCGTATATGGAGAATAATGGATAAGAAATGATGAAGAAATACTCTTAGCATGTCAAGTCTGAATCTCTACGTGTTTACATCTTTGCTTACAAAATTGTATAATATTGGATATATTGCCGCAATCCTGTGCGATCCAAAGATATGTAGATCCAGTTTCTACTGGCAGTAAACGAACTTGTTGAATGTGATAAAATATGTCTGATGTCATTATATTCTATGATAGTGACCATAACACTACATGATTTTTGTGAAAAATGAAGTGAAATGAAAATTTGAAATGCATTAAACTTGAATAGTATTTATCAATTTCCTTAGGTTTTTACAGGTTTTGGATTGACCGTCACAACTCGATAACAACAACTTCATACCTTGTAACGCATGTGTATGTCCTCATTATATATTAAAAGCATCGTCTCTCAGTGTATTCTTAGTATCTCCGTGTTTCTATACATGGTGCTGAAGATATCTTCCTTGTACTACCACAGTTTCACACACAAGATCATCTAATTCCACTGTTCCGTTTCTCACCTGGGCAAGAAACGAGGCTACATTTGCTTCTGTGTCCTGTATGTCTTGGTCATCTGTGTGTGTGTGTGTCTGTGTGTGTGTGTGTGTGTGCGCGCGCGCGTGCGTGTGTGTCTTGGTTGTCTTGGTCTGGATGAAACCATGTCCACTGGAGCTGCATCACAAATAGCAGGCACACTTGGGGCATCCCACCTGGGCATATACCACACTTCTAAAGTGGCCACATTCACCAACCTGTTTCAGCTCATGTGCCAAGAGACTTTCTTTCCTGCATCTGTTAGCAGTCCACGACTGCAGGCATCTTGTGGGACACTAACTTTCTGCGACAACATAGCTCCTGGAAATCCTCTTGAGGCAGCAGCAGTCAATGCATCAGTCATCATACCATCTTCAGCTCCTGCTGTCAAAACTAGTTTTAGGAGTCCAAGTTGTTAAGCTCCCTTCAATAAATACACCAGACGACTGGTCGACACAGGGTCTTTTAATGCCTCTTTTAGCATCATATTGCACTCCAAACCCAAGTGTTCCACTTCTGAACACTAGACAGAACACATGGATGTAACACGTCCATATGTTCTGAAAATATTCTGAACGTTGATGTTCTTGACCCAGAACAGGAGTGTTCTACAAACATATTAGAACGCTTCAGCGTGTTCTGACGATGTAACACTTTTAGAACGCCTGTAAAATGTTCTGGACCGAGATTCAGAACACTACACGTTCTCGGACACGTACTTCCACAGTACTGAAATGACAACTCATCGTGTGTGTCGAATACAATCTACCCGACGTTTTTCAAGGGGTGAGAATTTGAACCATGAATATTCTCTAGCATAAAATCACACGGACGAAATTCTGAACTGCAACCATGAATTCTTTATTATATTTATTTGTGATGATCATGGATATTCAAGTCACTTTAATATATGAGTCATAGTTCTTCACGAAACATTACAAACTGTCGAGAAGCAAATTGAAGCATACTTCCATACTTAAGATAACTTAAGTTTCAAGTCTTTCAAGAAGCGCATGTACTTCGCAGATGTTTTTTGTGGGTATATATCCCCAAGGACGATGTTCGTGACAGCGACATGACCATTGCATACTTCAGGAAAGTTCAAGTCAAATATGACTCCGCAACATCCTACAACACAAAACATTTATTTGGTCATAGTCATGTAGTTATCAAACTCGTACATATTACATAAGACATTCTAACAAATGTTCGTTAGTAAACGCAAGATTATCGTGACATTTGTTTCATTATTTATAGGTTGTAAAATGTTTTGCCAAAAATGTCATTTGACTAACAAAGTAACCACTTACTTGGATAAAGATTAGACACAAATATACACAAGTGATCTGCAAAACCTTGTTTCTCTTCCTCCTTAGCCTAGGCGTGTGCCTTGTGCAATAATTTCCATGGATGGTACTGATTATCTGCAATGCACCCTGATACAGAAAGATTGTTTCACTAAAATATTTCACATAAAATAGCCAAAAACATGTCCTGTGAAGGTTTAGTTCTTTTTGTTCATTACATACTTACCCTACTCTGCTGAATTCGATGCATTGTCGATGCATGCTGATCATGCCCTCGGATCCCAAATTTAGATGTTCAGAAATTTGTTGCATGTAGCCCGCTTCGCACTTTCAGGCGTTTCATATAGAACCTGAAATATACATTCATTATATTTGAACATCATTCAAATAAACGGAAACGTTCAAATAGTCACAATTGCAATTTGGATTGGAATTTCATCTCATAATTTGTGAATCATGCGTGTGGAACAATGGCAGAAATGACGGTCAAAATGGCGAGTAATATGTCGTCTGCTATGCGTTTCGTAAGTTGCCGGTTTTACTTCGCATGCGATCAGCATATGAATATATCGCCGAAATATTACACAATTTTAGGTAAGTATCGAATATGAAACAAAAGTATTCCTAGATGGATACTTACCACAGACACACCTCAGATCATTGGAAATTGTAGCGCCAAATACAGCAAACAGACCGTATATGTTCCATAGCACCCATAAAAGATCCAGCTATAATTAGCCATCAGAATGCCAGTGTTCTGATACACGTAAATGTCCCGTAATGCAAGTAAGTGATTTCCATGTATTAGCAATGATCGAGCTGTATTTCAGTAATGTTTCTTGTTGTGTTTAGTCAGGCTACATATGGGTTATTATTAACACAAAGTATATGCCATGTTTATAAACTATTTATTATTCATCAAACTCAAAATATAACCCTTCTTATACACATTTTCTGTTTGACATACCAATCTACCAGCCTCTCTTCTTCTCAAAAATAAATATTCAGAAAACACAAATATGATGGTCGAATTTAAATTTGTCGAACAAAATTCAGCACATAATCTCTGCTAATGTGCATGGGCTTCTCCCAGGAGAGAACACACGCGTTCTACAACAGATCACAGACGTTCAGCAATAGAACACGTGCTGCATTCGTATTCTGTGGCAGAACGTGTGGACATGGACATCCTGCATCTATAGCCCCCGTCACAACATCAGTCAGTTCTCCGCATCCTATGGCCTCTTTCAGGACATCAGCCATCACCCATCACACCAACATATAAATCCCCCTTCACAACATTGCCCAGATACCCAAAACTTACGGCTTCTTTCATGACATATTCCAGCACACCAGTCTCAATAGCTGCATAAAGAATTTGCCCTGTCCGTTTATGACTGTCGTGATTACGTTTTGAGATAGTCTTTCGACACATCGGAATCGCTTAGCTGTTCAACTAAAACAGTTTGCAGTCCACACAGTTTAGCGGATTGGAAGGGATATTTCATCGACAGAACACGTAAACCCCTTCACAACATCATCCAGATTGCTACAACCTACGGCCTCGTTCAGGGCATCAGCCAGCACACAAACATGTATAGCCCCCCTTCACAACTTACAGCTCTAATATAGAATGTTCTAGATGTGTATTATTATTATTATTAGTTTTTGGTTACGCTCTCATTGTTTTCTGTTGCTGATTCTCTGTCTATTGTAGACATTTGACAGTTTTTTTACGCAATCTGTCACTTTTCATTTTTAAGTCTGCATTTCCTCTTTTCAAATGTCACACAATTGGGTCACGGAATGACGCGAGTTTTACCGAATGAGATGATTGGTTAATGTAAACCTTGATGCACCTTCGCCACCACTCGCCCCTTTACGTAAAGTGCAAGAAAACTTGTATCCCGAGGACTGTGTTAACATTCAGTTTAGGGCTAATTTCAAATCCGTTGAGCTTAATCTCTGATAATTTAGTAAAAGTTGAAAGTTCCATATCCTTTATGTACTAACATATAATGAATATGTTAAAGTAACAGAAACAGACACCAGTTCAAAATCTATTACAGTTTGAAAATTAAATAGTTTTTAAAATTCAGTCCATTTGTAATGCTTTAGCAGCTTTTTTGTAATGTACCAGATAATAAATATATATTAAAATAATGACAATGAAAAAACATTTTTTCAGTTTAATTGAATTTTCTGAATGCAGATTTTTTGCATATGCACATACCATGAGTTTAGACATGTGCAGCTGGGCTAGTATTTTGTCCACTATGGTTTTTTATATGAATCCCCGTGAATTTTGCAGTTTTATGATTTACACACTCAGGCTGAGATTCACGGCCGCATAAATCAGGCAACATGGAGCTATTTTCAGATCGATGTAATGAGTATTTCATTAAGATAAAGCCTACAAAAAACATTTCGAAATTTATACAAATCAAAGATAGTCTTGGTTGGATTTATTTGTTTGTTTGTTGTTTAACGCCGCACTCAGCAATATTCCAGCTATATGACGGCGGTATGTAAATAATCGAGTCTGGACCAGACAATCCAGTGATTGACATCATGAGCATCGATCCACGCAATTGGGATCGATGACATGCTTCAACCAAGTCAGCGAGCCTGACCACCCGATCCCGTTAGTCGCCTCTTACGACAAGCATGGGTTGCTGATCGAATACCTATTCTTCCCCGGATCTTCATGGTTGGAGTAACGTTCGGCAATTCAGCCTTCCCTAATTATCTTAAAAGCTCGTCTTCGTTCTCCAAATTCAGCTTTAACTCTTGATTAAATTCTCAAGATTTATTATTCTGTTGCATATTTATAAATGTTGAAATCCTTTAGAGCAATTTTAGTATCGTTATTTTTACTTTTTTCTTCTTCTTTTATTTTCTTCACTTCATTTCCGTCAAGTGCTATCATCCAAATCTGAATTGATATAAGTGTGTAAATTAATATCAGATTAATGCTTATATCGTCTTTCATGTCGGATTAACTACACGTGTTTCTACCTGTACTATACATCAATGGACAGTTCAGAAAAGGCCGATCATATATACTGATGGAAACGGACAAGGAATCAGTGAAACATATGGGAAAATAAGTTTTACATGTCAGTATATTTGAAATAGCGCGCATACACATTCAACACGTCCGAATCAAACGTTGAAAGGTGTTTGTGTGCATTGTTTCCAAGGCGTATTGGTAGACAAGGCTGGGAACCCATGATAGCATATCATTCTACTGTGTCTATAACTAAGTGTTCCCTTATTAATTTCCATCAGTATATAATCAATTAGTATATAAAGGGTAGGTCATTATATGTTCATTAGTATATGTGGTGAGCATAAATAGAGCCATAGCACTGCTCACAAAACATTAATCTAAAATGATCAATTTATCAGTTATGAAGTAACCAAACAAACAGAAATACTTTTGTTTTCATTTAAAGTAATGAAGTAATATTGTCATATTGACTTTTCGCCCTATCCGCTCTTAGAGGGAACAGTTGACGCATAAAATAAAAGTCTTTCACAGCAGTTTAAACTGGTGCTGGGATGGTGAACGCACAGGACTGGTATTGCCTTTACAACACGCTGCCTCAGTTCGTGCACATTGTATGATCTATCTATCTATTCACCGTCCCTATTCATCACGACTGGCAAACAGGAAAACAGCTGTATTGCGTGAGGCCGTCTCGTCAAGATTAAACTGAACCAGTGCATGAATTATTGTTACAAGTTCACTGTCCAGGAGGGCTTGTCAAGAACTATATGACTGTTGTGTACAGCAACGCTACATCCGACCCGTGAAGACCCGGGGTAGAATAGATCTTCAGCAACCCATGCTTGCCGTAACAGGCGACTATATGCTTATCGTAAGAGGCAACTAACGGGATCAGGTGGTCAGGCTCAGTGACTTGGTTGATGCATGTCATCGTATCGCAATTGGGACCGTGGATCGATGCTCATGATGTCAATCACTGGATTGTCTGGTCCATACTTGTTTATTTACACACTTCCGTCATACAGCTGGGATATTGCTGAGTGCGGCGTTAAACAACATACAAACAATGAAGTTTTAGTTTTAGGTGCGTGCGTCCGTGTGTGTGGACGAGGGGAATTTATAGCTCCACAAATAGAGACTACTTCCTCCTTTTCAAAACATCCTCCTTTCAGGGCCCTGTTCCACAAAGCGATCTAAACGGTAAGATGATCATAACTCCCATACTTTTAACATAGGCTTACGACAGTCGTAGCGCTAAGATCGCTTTGTGGAACGGGTCCCAGGTCAATAGAGGGTGTAAGCTGGTTCCCGGCTCCCTATGCGCGTCGGCAACTTGCGCCATATTGTGATATTGGAGACGGGGCCCAGCTTATAGAGGGTGAGTCACATGTTGAGCTGCTGCACAACTGTCCTACTGGACATGTAACGACTCTTCCTATTGGCTGAGATTAAGCTATACTAGACTGGTCTGAACACAATGCTACTTACGCAGAAAGACGGGTTCCCAGTTTTTCTCAAACAGTAGATTTTGAAATGACTGATCTTAAGGCCACTTTTGGCGTTCAGAATTCCAATTCTATTAACTATAAACTTAATACATATTTACATTCATTAATAAACAGAGGAATAAACAAGCAATGATGAATGAGTAAACAAGGAAATAACATCATATATAGAAATATCACTTTATTCCTTGCCAATATATTTACAACACAACACATAATGCTAAAATAGTTCCTTGAGTCAAGTTTACAATAATGTAATGCAAAACTCAGCAGTTTGAAACATCACCTGAATCAGATATGTTGTGAAATATTGATCAATCATTATCCAGGGAGCAATGATAAAACCTCTTCACATGTAATAACTGGTCATAAAAATGGTATGGAAAGGGGTGTATCATTTTTAGCTCAAGGCACAACACACTATGCAAATGTTGTCAAATATTTTGCCAGATTTCAAGCCTCTCTTGTAAGCATTTCTTTCAGCCTCGTCAAATTAATCTAAAAAAGATTTGTCTCGACTAACATATCGTCTCTGAGTGAGTGAGTGTGTTGGGTTTAACGCCACTTTCAACATTATTCCAGTTACATCACGGCGCGTGTCAGCTTAATGTGGAAGGAAAGCCAAAAGTGATACAGGTCTCAGATGTTTACCACTTTGGTGAAACCCACGAGCACGGGTATGGTGCTGACAAAACTAGAAACATAATCGGGGCAAACCAAATTCGAACCCACAATCATAGGTTTCTGGCGTGCCCAAGGGACGCAACCCTGCACAGCGAATCACAGCGCTTTAGATGACTGGATTACCCGTGCCCCCATATCGTCTCTGAAATGATTTTAATTTTTTTTTAGCTTACTTCTCTTTCAGCATATAATAGAACTGAGTCCAAAGTTGCTTCATTCAGACCTGAAACCAAGAAAGTCTAGACTTGCCAAAGTATTGGAGTCTTGCTTGGAGGTTTTTGTCTAGTTTTGTCTAATGAGACATAAAGAGGCTACGACACTGTATTGAAGTGGTTATTTTACCTAACGTAAAAAAAATAAAAAATTGTGTGTTCTCAAGGAGGATGATGATCTATACATCTTACAACAGGATCATTATTGCACACATTGTCAACAGCAAAACAAATACCCTACTGCAGTGGGTATAACCAGAGGTATACATGACATACAGATATATATCCTGACACAGAAGGAATCCCGTACATAAAATTTTACCTTCATTCAAGTGGTTCAGTTTATCCTCGTTTCTTAGCAACGTGTGTCCTTTAAATGGGAGCAACCCACTCTTGCCGTAAAAGGCGACTATGCTTGTCGTAAGAGACGACTAATTGGATCGGGTGGTCAGGATCGCTGACTTAGTTGATGCATGCCATCGATCCCAATTGCGTGGATCGATGCTCATCTTGTCAATCACTAGATTGTCTGGTCCAGACTCGATTATTTACAGACCGCCGTCATATAGCTGGAATATTGCTTTGTGAGGCAATAACCCAATAACACGAGCACAGGTATGGTGCTGACAAACCTAGAAACATAATCAGGGCGAACCGTGATTCGAAGCCACAATCATAAGTTTCTGCTGTGCCCAAGGGATGCAACCCTGCACAGTGATTCGCGGTGCCTCAGACGACTGGGCCACCCGTGCCCCGTTAATGTTTTGAGTAGGTTGAAACACTCATAATAACCTTCAAACTACATCGCTGTAGATACTTAAATAGTTTTCTTCATCAATATACTCTACTCCACAAACAAACAAACAAACAAACATGAGGCACATTTATGTAATTACACATACTTGCATTAAGGCTTGATATCACGTTCACATCTTCTCAACTGACTTCTTGTGACAAGCTCAGTTATTCACAAATCTGTTCTTTTGTGGATTAAATCTTGACCAATATATATTTTATACAAAGTATGTATAGTTAAAAACATTGAGGGCAGCGATGATATTACCCTTGGATGGAGCATGTGGAGCTAGTGTTGCTGCATTTACAAGCATGGAATACATGCATAATATTCAAATTTCTTTTTTTCCTAAATATTGAACCCGCTAGAGGGGGGTGCGCATTATACATGGGTGCGCACTATACTCAAGAAAATACGGTACTCATACCCACAGCCAATATGACATGTCTAGATGTGTGCAAGGCAAGAAGTTTTAACGATTTTTAAGATCTTCTCTGGAAATAAGCACTACCGCCATTTTCAGTCTCAGTCAAAATTGTTGCAATGGAAACTCGTAAAATAATATAATTAAAATCCCAACCTACTAAAAGGCACAAGTTTATCACGAGACCTATCTATGGGCCATGTTTGTTGGAGAAATATTGTACTGTTTTCAAGATCTTCTCAGGAAAAGAGCACCACCATGACGGACGGGGGGGTGGGGGTGGGGGTGGGGGGGCTGGGGGGGGGGGGGGAGGGACGAAAATTCTGAGTAATGTCAACACATTTTATTAAGGCTATACCATACAAGTCTGTACACAATAGGGCATGACCTAGTGTTTGATATTCTGAGTAATGTCAACACATTTTATTAGGGCTATACCATACAAGTTTGTACACAATAGGGCATGACCTAGTGTTTGATATTCTGAGTAATGTCAACACACTTTATTAAGGCTATACCATACAAGTCTGTACACAATAGGGCATGACCTATTGTTTGATATTCTGTGTAATGTCCACACATTTTATTAAGGCTATACCATACAAGTCTGTACACAATAGGGCATGACCTAGTGCTTGACATTCTGAGTAATGTCCACACACTTTATTAAGGCTATACCATACAAGCCTGTACACAATAGAGCATAACCTCAGGCTTGATATTCGGAGTAATGTCAACACACTTTATTAAGGTTATACCACAGCAGTCTGTACACAATAGGGCATGACCTAGTGTTTGATATTCTGGGTATTGTCCACACACTTTATTAAGGCTCTACCATACAAGTCTGTACACAATAGGGCATGACCTAGTGTTTGATATTCTGGGTAATGTCCACACACTTTATTAAGGCTCTACCATACAAGTCTGTACACAATAGGGCATGACCTAGTGTTTGATATTCTGAGTAATGTCCACACACTTTATTAAGGTTATACCACAGCAGTCTGTACACAATAGGGCATGACCTAGTGTTTGATATTCTGGGTATTGTCCACACACTTTATTAAGGCTCTACCATACAAGTCTGTACACAATAGGGCATGACCTAGTGTTTGATATTCTGAGTAATGTCCACACACTTTATTAAGGTTATACCACAGCAGTCTGTACACAATAAGGCATGACCTAGTGTTTGATATTCTGGGTAATGTCCACACATTTTATTAAGGCTATACCATACAAGTCTGTACACAATAGGGCATGACCTAGTGCTTGACATTCTGAGTAATGTCTACACACTTTATTAAGGCTATACCATACAAGTCTGTACACAATAGAGCATAACCTCAGGCTTGATATTCAGAGTAATGTCCACACACTTTATTAAGGTTATACCACAGCAGTCTGTACACAATAGGGCATGACCTAGTGTTTGATATTCTGGGTAATGTCCACACATTTTATTAAGGCTATACCATAGCGGCCTGTACACAATAGGGCATGACCTAGTGCTTGATATTCTGGGTTATGTCCAATCAACTTATCCTGAGCTGATCCAAGTTAGTCACCTCTAACATGACGAAATTACTGGGACTAAATCGCCTGAGCATTCTAAGCTAAGTGCCTTAATTTTCACATTTTGTTTGTCAAATTGAAATTCTATTCAATTCAAGTATCCTGTCATTACAAGAGTGAGAAAATAAGAGGAGCTTTGCTGTTAGTCTGCAATTAGAGACAAAACTGTAAACAAGTAAACATTCTTTATAACTTCCATCTGTCAAAAATCTTTTTACAATTCACTACAATGACCTTCCCACGGAAAAGCACAAAAACATACATGTCACAACATTTTGGGTTGGAGTGAAAAAATATAAAAAACTTGTCTAATGTCTGCGACTACTACAGTGATGGCAGCGGTGATACCAGCAGGGCACCAATGGTGTCCCCTGCTCATGGCAGCAATGGAACCAGGAGGGTATCGATGATGTCACCCTGGGATGGAGCAGGTGGACCCAATGTTGCTGTATCAACAATGGACGAAGTAGAGAGGACACTATTTGGCAATGAAAATGTTAAAATCACTTACAAAAATCTGTATATGTGACTGACAATTAGATTTTTGGGTCCATATTTTAACTTGCAAGTTATGGACTTATGATATATTCCAGTATGTCAAAAATAAGTTGAATTTTCAATTTTCAACAGAAAAACTAACGTTGATTAAGTCTATGATTTGATACCAATGTTCGTACTGGTGCTTGTACAGTTTGGGAGAAAGAATGTTCAAATATTAGGAATCTATTCCTCTAAACTCAAACATATGAGTTTCTGAAACACTTCAACCTGATCACAAAACTTAGAGTTGTTATAACACAGCCGTAACTTTCACAAAGAATGTTTAATCTTTTTCTCATTTCTTAAGTAAGTAAATCTAGAGTGCCCAAAAGTCGTTTTCCCATATCCTTAACAATTCTCCAACTAAAATCATCACAGCCACTCCTAAAACTATAAATACCTAAGGCTAAAAAAACAATAGTCTTGGTTCTCAGGCATATCATCATAAAGTCTGCCGCACATTTTGTTTTTATTTCAATTTAAAATTTTAAAAAAAATCCTAATACTTAAAAACAATGCAATCCAATATAGCACGCAGTTACTTCCCTTTACATACCCACTGCTTTACTGCGCATCTCGTGTTATGGCCATGGTGGCAATTGAAGTTTGTATGCCTGTTTATGTTGGAAGACCCTTTCTAAGGTTGATGGTACACAACTGTTTATTTGGTTACATACTAGTCTTAAAAAAAACACACAAAAAAACACCGCCATCCCGCACTACATTTTCAAAAGTCATTGCCTGAAAACCAAATCTTTTATTTTTTAAGCCTAATTAACATGACAACCATACCACACTCAAAGGTTTTACCACATAATTTCACCAACATGAAGACTGACCTGTTGTGTAATCCTCTCTCTCACATAAAGTAACCAAAATTAGGTTGATATAAATGTCTACCTGAGAACTAAAGGTTCAACACTGACGTCCAGTCACTCAAAACATCACATGAAACATCGCGTGAAGACATGACATGACCTGGGGTCAGGAAAGTTCATAAACAAGTTGCTTAAGTGCTAAAAATCACCTGAGGTTTCAAAATCAACATCTCCATAATAAGTACACACTTGAGTCCTTAATACCATCCTCCATCAAGGTGAGTTTGGTTTAACGCCTCTTTGAACAGAATATCGGTTATATAACCGTGTGTCAGTTGATGGGACAGGAAAGCCCAAAGTCATGTAGGTCTAAGATGGTGAAACCCACAAGGATGGGTATGGTGCTGACAACACTAGAAAAATAATCCAGGCGATCCGTGATTCAAACCCACAATCATAGGATCCTGGTATTCCTAAGTGAGACAACTCCACACATGCATCATTTGATACACCTTCAGTTCAAGTGTAAATGAGAGCCAGCTATTTCTGTCCCTCACACACTGATGAATCCAACTTGGAAAAATCAATTATTTTACAGAATACAGAAGAATAAAATAAACTTAAAGAGAATTAAATAATTTTGGGACAAACTTAATTTTGATGTAAGTTTAACAAACAACCATGCATAATGTCTGATGTAGCTAACAGACAAATATTATTTTCCTCACATACAACAACAGATTAAACAATCAATGCATTCAAAGTTTTGATCAACTGTATATACTAATTGTTGATTTACCCATTAAATGAGATCCTTTCCATAACTTTAAAACTTTAAAGTTCATCTTGTTCCTGGGATGAGTTTGAGTTTGTGCACTTTTCTTCAGCTTCTTCTTTTCAGACATGGAGGCAAATCTCACTCATTGAAAGTCAACATGTATCCCGCAAACTTGTTACCATGACAACCTACTCCTCAATGGAAATGGAGAGCCCCGATTGGTCCACGCAAGCTTCGTACACTACAGCATCTTCCAGTCCCTGTAGAAACACATTGTCAAAATAAGAGAGTTTGGTTTAACGTCACCCTGAACAGAACCCAACACATCATCAAGGTGAGTGAGTGAGTGAGGTTTTACGCCGCTTTTAGCAATATTCCAGCAGTATCACGTCCGGGGACACCACAAATGGGCTTCACACATTGTACCCATGTCGGGAATCGAAACCCAGGTCTTCGGTGTGGCAAGCTAACGCTTTAACCACAAGGCTACCTGACCATCCCTCATGAAGGTGATGCTGGGCATATACAACTTGGAACTAGTCTGTCAATAGATATACAACTCAAAACTTCACACCAACAGGATGCGATTTGGCCTGGATCTGACGTATGTTAAGCTTCTTTTCACGAACAAAAGTAAACATTTATATATGTTGTTGTCTCCTGACTTTCGTAAGAGTGTGAGCTAACACAGTCTCCCTATCAGGAGTTGAGTAGTATTGCATGTATTTGAGTGAACGTAGGACTCAAGTTGTCATCGTTTTGGAAGAGATGTGAAACCTGTATGAATCAAACATTATCTTCTTCCCATTCAGTGTCTTAACACGAACACACACACACTGGTTACACCATGCACTACCAGTATTGTGGAAATCTTCTAAAGCTTTGCACGCATGCATGCTTTACATGCTCACATGTTTACTTTTGTCTATTATTACTTGAGTCAGTGAGTGAGTTGAGTTTAACGCTGCTTTTAACAGTATTCCAGTTATATCATGGAGGGTCAGCTTCATGTGGGATGAAAGCCTGAAGTGATGCAGGTCTCAGACGTTTACCACTTTGGTGAAAGCAACAAGAATGTGTATGGTGCTGACAAACCTAGAAACATAATCTGGGCGAATATTATTACTTGAAAAAAAGCATCATATTCTGATATCTGATATCAACACTCGTTGAGAAAAGTGGCAAAAATCCTCGGCAAGCCTCAGAATTTTTCCACTTTTATCAACTCGTGTTGATATATTTGATATCAAAAGACACTCAGATGAGATTCTCTATATCCAAAATATAACATGTGTTACATAAAAGTCAGCCCTCTATCAATATTGCCCCACGACGGAGGAGTGACATTACCTCGACAGTGGCGAGAAGCTTCTCCACCTTGTCCTTGGAGCTTGGTTCCTTCATGATGCCCCACATGAACCCCCCTCCCCCGGCCCCCGCCATACACAGGCCGAGACTGTGGGGTCGCAACACCTCCATTATTCTCTGAATCACAAGAGTCTCGCATCCCGGTGCCATCCGCTTCTTCATTTCCCAATACTTGTTGGCGCAGGAACCAAGAGCTTCCAGATCACCTAAGGGAGATAATCCATATTTTTTTCAATGTACAACTGCCAGCCATTAACCTTTAGCCTGCTGAATTATTTTCACACTTCTTACCCCTGCCTGCTGGATTAATTTTAGCATAAGGCGCTCTAAAGAGGGTGGGTGATTTCAAACAGTCGGTGCCTCATTAAACAAGGGGCAATTGAAGAAATATTTTGCACATTTATTCCTGATAGAAAACTACACAGTACTATATAAAAATATCCTGATGTTTTCAATCATACCAATGTTAAGACCAAAGCGAACACAAAATTTGTAAATTTTCTTGAACTTACCTGAATTGCGTTATTGAAGGTGGTTTGCATTTCATGCTAGGAACCTTTTAATATCGTAACATTTGTGCAAATTGATTTCAATAATCATATCTCCGATATCTTAATTTTAATTGAGTAAAAATTCGGGTTTTTTTTATCAGCAAATAACAGCGCGATGGTAAATTAGGAACCATTTCAGTGAATTTATTATCTAAACGTTAAACATAAAAATAACTTAATTTTCGAGGTCATCATGTCGGTTGCAGAAATACGAATATTCGGGTTAATCTGACGTGTCATGTTATAAAATTTGCAGGAAACAATTAATGACTTATAAATATTCACTAATCCTAATTTCAAGCGTTTTGGTTGAATATTTACGATATACAAAAATAAACAACCCGTGTCATGATGCTAGCAGACGTCCTAAAATCAAACATGGCGCGCTTCGCTCGACCTCCGCATAACTTATTGCTATTTTAACATCAACAAAGTTTACATTGCCTTTAAAAATATAACTTGGCGAAAGTTGACGATCTTCTCAATCGAAGAATGTTTTATTCGTCATATTCCAATAAATATGACGAGAGAAAAATGAAAATAAAGATCGTGAATTCTGACAGCACTATTTCAATAAGTGCATAGGTCACCGGATGTGATGTCACAGACAGGGGTAGTCTGCTGATAAGCTTTCGAAACAAAACAATTACAGTAAATTTTGAAATAGTTCGCCAATCACATACAGCAAAAACATAAGTCGATACACAGTATCAGTAATCGCCACTAACATGAAATAAAAATGTGACTTTGACGATATAATTCGCGTATTAGTTAATCCGTTTGACCTTGCATACTCCCGTGACCCGGAAACGGTAGACGATAAATCAACATGCCACATGCAAGTTTCTCGGTATCTTTTATTTGAACTTCTGTTGATATTTAAGAATCACCATTCAATGTTGTGAATATAAATGGGACATGATTCATATTTCTGCGATGTAAACGCTGATAAGTTTCACTACAACAAGTGTATCCCACGTAATACGTCTATGGATATCGTCGATCAGCAAGATCACCCTCTTCAACAGGTGCGCGAAAATGGGCTTGACAAAACGTGTTTCAAAATAACATCCCCGCGTTGCTGAATATGATAGGGTATATATAAGCAATAAAATGCTACGTACATATTTTCGGTGTTAGTTCCACATTACATTTAGGATAGCTTTCCTTTCGGGAATACATTCATAGATTCTAGCATGATTTTAGAACAGTTACACGAAGGATTTCTAAATTTATTCCAAAAATATGAAGACCACCATGATGGCGTATTGATGATAGATTTGTAATTGTTTAATTATTTACAGCTGTTTACAGGTTTTAAAATTTTAAGTTATATTTAATAGTTATTTTTCCCACAATGATGGTGTGTGGGGACAGTAAATATTAGTCTTTGCATCAGCACAGTGTAACTGATCAAACTTCAATTATTATCTTTAGTTTAAACATATTTATTCAACAATTATTATCTTGCACTCTGAAAATCAACTATGTGAATAAGTAACTCTCTGATGTCATCATTTTAATTTTAGTATTCCATGAATAATGAATAAATCAGATCCTTAACATATACATACTAAACTCATATGGACATTAATCTTGTGCATTATGTGGTTTGTTTCCAAGTAAAACAATTCTAAAATAAAATTTAATAGGAATTAATTTAATTTAATTACAGTAACAGTACTTGTAACAGTACATGACATTTTTGTTTGTTTAATCACAAGAACCATGGTGGCACATGAGCTGGTAAGTTTGCCACAGGTTTCTTAGAAAATGCTATCTCAGTCTTCTGGTTGGAATGAAAAGAAACATGCCTGTGTACATGTTTACCCTTGCCAGATGTATTTTTTCCAGTCAGCCAATCCATTACTTTTGTTCATCTTATGTGGTCTATTTTATACATACAGGTACTGCTTCCAACCTGTTTTTTCTTTGTATGCAATCACAGTATCACAACTTCCTCAGCTGGTGTGTATAAAAGTTCCCCTGTCATCATGAAAAAAGAATTATAAAGGAAAGTCATATTTTCATTCAAAAACATATCTGTCTTTCCTTGAATAGTCTTTGTCTAAGTGCCAGAAATGTCAGTGTCATAAAAAAAATAAAAACAGATTTTCATAAGGACTTTTCTTAGGTAGACCTAGATCTAAGTCAAACCATGTGACAAGTTAGGTAGAATTATAACCTTATAAGCCCTCATTTCTGAGGTGTCCATATTTTAAACATTTTTAGGACTAAACGTGATCTGTGTAGATCTGCCTGTTTTGTTATGTAAAACAAATTCTTGTCTTAAAAAATGAGAAAAGGAATCATTCAGACGAAAATTTTTTATCCCATTGATTCACGAAAATCAGTTGAAATGTACAGTGGTGACTTTTGTACCCAAAATTTCTAGTAATTTGTTACCCAAATGGGTATGTGATTTTGTAGATCAACCTAGAATTATTTCAAAGATATACATTAATTTGGTGTCTTAAACTTAACATATCACTTTCCTATCAAAACAATTCATTCTAACTTAGGTTTAACCAACTTAACTGGCCTCTCCTTCAGTGACAAGACGTCAATTTTCTCTCAAAACCAAACAATCAATTTCAAGGATCACAGTCATAATCATATTTGGAACTTGATGAAATATTTTATTGTGTGTTCTGTTCATCTACATGAAAACATAAATATAATTATAGATCTATTTTCTTATTTTCTTAGGTACAAATTCACAAAGTATTTTGGGTACAATTTAATTTGTTTTGGGTACAAAATCACATATATAGGAGCCTAGAATCTATATATATTTACACTAGCCTACCTCGTTGTGTACCAAAATTTTATCGGTTCAGAGGACGGGAGGTTCTCAGAAAGTTTTCAACAACATCTTTAATATTTAAATTGTTCTTTTTGTAATGTTAGACCTATAACAATATTATGTTATTATTATGGCATATCAATACGTTGTATCGCTCTCCGTTGCGTTCGTTTTTAGAAAATATTTTAAAATTAATATCATCGAGCGTGAAATCCATTACGGTTTCGGATTTAGACTTGCACATTTGATGGCGACAATCACGAAGAAATATGAAACAAATAGGAGTAAAGACTGCTCTCCAGATCAATAAATAGTAAAGAGTTGACGAAAAATAGTAAATTATGTATTTTCTTTTGAATTTGAATCTATTTCGGAATTTCTTTATGATAGCTTACCAACTTTTGCATATTTTGCTTCCATGTGTCACATGCGGTACGTGCTTCCGGTTTCAGAAATCATAGCTAAAATTGCAAGTATTTTGATTATTTCTCATAAAATGCATTATTTTGCTATTGAATGGTTTACCTAGAATGTATATCAGTTCAGATTTTGCGTATCATCCAATATTTGTCATTTTTCGCAGTGTTTGTTGACTTTGTTCAACTCAACAAATCGCGAGTTAGGCCACGCCCAAACGTATCACTGACGTTTGTCAGCTGTTTTTCGGCTTGTCAATGTGTCGGAAAGTTTATCAAACGAAATCATTTCCAAACTCTTTAAAAATGAAATTCTTTTTACAAAGATTTATACATACGTGTCAATAATTCTAGAAAATTAAGTTAGATGTAACAAAATGATTGTAATAGTCTAACGGGATAACTATGCATGTGGAGTTGTTTGTTTACCGCCGTTGCCATGATAGTACAAGTTTCATCCAATCGATGATGTTACGATTCAGATTGTTTTTGTTTACAATTAGTTACACCGAAAGTTGCTAATTTTTAGAAATTAAGGAACATGAGTGTTTTCCTTTCGCCAGCAAACAAAAAATTATGATCGAATAGGAAAAATGATGAAATTATAAAGAAAATATCGGACTGCATGCCGCTCAACGTGAAGTGCCAAAAGTCAACAATGGCCGTTTCTGGTAGTTGTGTGCCGAGAAGTTTGGCCGAAACATTTTTAACTCGCGATATTTTCTTTTTGAGGTAAATAAATGACTGAACGTTTTGATATTGAGCAAGCTGAGGATTTATGCATGTCATACGTAATTTAAATGTTACGCAAAGCCTTCTTGGTAAATAGATATGGCGAGTTTTATTTTGGGGTGTTGTTATGTTATTCGCCTGTCGAATGGGTTCGACATCAGATGCACGGGGATGGACACCTCTGTCGAATGGGTTCGACGTTAGCGTGCAGAGCTTTAAAAGGGTGCATCTCACATTTTCAGATTTATCAGAGCTGAAAAACAATGAGTGAGTGAGTGAGTGAGTTAGGTTTTATGCCGCTTTTAGCAATATTCCAGCAATATCACGGCAGGGGACACCAGAAATGGGCTTCACACATTGTACCCATGTCGGGAATCGAACACGGTTCTTCGGCGTGACGAGCGAACGCTTTAACCACTAGGCTACCTGACCGCCCCTGAAAAACAATGATGTTGTACAGAGATGTTTATACTGATATAGACATTGGCAAACCAGTAGAAGAGTATGTCACGGACTGCCTCCATTGTCTAGTGGCAGAGTGCCCACCCGGATAGCGGAAGGCCCGGGGTTATACCGGCCGCGTCATACCAAAAGATGTTAAAAGATGGTACTTGTTGTTTCTCTGCCTGGTGCTCGGCATTTAGGGGCTAAAACAAGGACTGGTAGGCCCGGAGTCAGTATACTGTGTCTGAGTGGGGCATGGCATCTCAGTGGGCTAGCACTATAAAATAGGTATCAGTCCGGACAAGCACAAGCGGCCACACACACATACATACACGTCGCTATATAAGTACAATAATCTTGGACGCGACGTTAAACCCTATTCACCTCACCCACCACCAATTACCATCAGTGAAGGCACGGCCACATTCCCGCGCTAGCATGACCAGGGCATCCTCAGTTGTCACAATGTGGGGGTTGCGGGCGTACCAGTTCCTGATGACGTCCTGCAAGCAATATCACATATCAACCACAGACCAGTGACACAAATATACCACTATTACTGGGTATAGGCTGAGTTCTTAGATCAAAATATAAACAAATGCAAAAGTGAGCGTGGCTCTCTAATACCCCCGACCCGCCTAGTGTGTCAGTAGATACAAATTAAATAGCTAGGATAGGTTAGGGTTTGAAAAATTCATAAGAAAATGGAAAATTAATAGAAACATTTTTTTTCTTTTGACTGCACCTCTCCATATGACACAGATTATATGTACTAAGTTTGAGATGAATCCCCTGAATAGTTTAAGAGAAATCGCGCGGACAAAGTTTTCGGACAGACGGACAGACGGACGGAACCTTGGTATAACTATATATAAAAAGGAGGTTGGCCAACACCCTTATCTGACCTACTAGTATTCTGCAGGGACATTGGAGACATCTAGAGTTAGCCCTAGTGTGTTACCTGTATATACAAGAGTCATTAGGGGATGATGAAATATCCTCCCGGTCTGGTGCAATTTGGAAATGGAGTTTGGCTACTTATACCCCACTTTTGGTTCCTTTTCAATTGATACCTTCAGTTCAGTGAAGAAAAAAATATTGCTGTTTTTTTTTTCACTCTCCCAAATCATCCAAAGGCACAGGTTCACCACCAGACAGATCTACATAGTAAGTTGCATCCAAAAATATTCAAAGGTTTGGGAGTTCTCTCAAGAAACGAGCACTATCCTGCTTTTTAGTATAAGTCCAACTGTCATCATGCAAACAAACAAAATTTATAAAAATGTAAAATTTCAAATCTTTAAAAGGCACCAGTTCACCACTAGACAGATCTGTACATCAAGTTTCATCAAGACATATGTAATAGTTTAGGAGTTCTGCTCTGGAAACAGTTCACTCGCTCCTTCCCTCCCTCCCTAACTCACTCACTCACTCATACCTGAAGCAGATTCCTGGCGAGTCTGGTCTTTCCGGTGTAGATGAGGACGAGTCGGTCACTAAATTTCTGGACGTATCTTTCGGACACCTGCAGGTCTATCGCCTCCACCTTCAGGGGTAGCTGGGCCTCTGACACACCCAGCCTCACCCCCCCAAACAGACCCCCAATCTGGTCCTGCCACCCCCCACCTGTTGTCAACAGTTGCTCCAGATACAGCACCTGTAGAGAACAATAGGGCATTGTAGATACAGCAACTGTAGAGAACAATAGGGCATTGTAGATACAGCACCTTTAGAGAACAATAGGGCATTGTACATACAGCACCTGTAGAGAACAATAGGGCATTGTACATACAGCACCTGTAGAGAACAATAGGGCATTGTACATACAGCACCTGTAGAGAACAATAGGGCATTGTACATACAGCACCTGTAGAGAACAATAGGGCATTGTACATACAGCACCTGTAGAGAACAATAGGGCATTGTACATACAGCACCAGTAGGGAACAATAGGGCATTGTACATACAGCACCAGTAGGGAACAATAGGGCATTGTACATACAGCACCAGTAGGGAACAATAGGTCATTGTACATACAGCACCAGTAGGGAACAATAGGTCATTGTACATACAGCACCAGTAGGGAACAATAGGGCATTGTACATACAGCACCAGTAGGGAACAATAGGTCATTGTACATACAGCACCAGTAGGGAACAATAGGTCATTGTTTATACAGCACCAGTAGGGAACAATAGGTCATTGTACATACAGCACCAGTAGGGAACAATAGGTCATTGTACATACAGCACCAGTAGGGAACAATAGGTCATTGTAGATAAAGCACCAGTAGGGAACAATAGGTCATTGTGAAAATACAAAAAAAAAAGTAATATGTTCTTATAGCCACATATGGAGATGGGCTGATATAGGGGAGGTAACTCTCAAGTGACAGGGTTTATTCAGTTGGATTTGTTTGTTTGTTTATTTGTTGGTTAACGCCGCACTCAGCAATATTTCAGCTATGTGATGGCGGTCTGTAAATAATTGAGTCTGCACCAGATAATCCAGTGATTGACATCATGAGCATCGATCCACGCAATTGGGATAAAATGACATGCATCAACCAAGTCAGCGAGCCTGACCACCCAATCCCATTAGTCATCTCTTACGACAAGCAGAGTCGCTTGTTATGGCAAGCATGGGTTGCTGAAGATCTATTCTTGGATACCACATATAACACATAATACAAAGCAATGATACTATAACATGTCAACACACTATCTGGCTTGAATGAGTATATACATTATAACAAATACAGAAAAAAATTCTAGAATAAATGCTGTCGGGTTGGTTTGGTTGGTTTGTTGTTTAACGCTGCACTCAGCAATATTCCAGCTATATGACGGCGGTCTGTAAATAATCGAGTCTGGACCAGACAATCCAGTGATTAATATCATGAGCATCGATCCACGCAATTGGGATCGATGACATGCATCAACCAAGTCAGCGAGCCTGACCACCCAATCCCGTTAGTTGCCTTTTACGACAAGCATAGTCACTTTTACGGCAAGCATGGGTTGCTGAAGACCTATTCTATCCCGTATCTTTACGGGTCTCCATGCCGTCGGGGCACAAAGACACTGAGCCTGACCACGGATCCATTGGTTGCTGCAGACCAATTCAAGCCCAGAATCCCCCTGTGGGATTCTTCACCATAACATCCAATGTACATCTTACTTACAGCATGCACCAGTCCTTCAGGGTCACATGTCTTGCCCCCTGCTGTGAGCACTGCCCCCATGACGGCGCCGGCCAAGATGCTGCTGGTGCCGAGTCCTGGGGGAGGGAAAAGCACACCTCATCACATCACAGCATCCTTACACCAGAGATGGAATAGTAGACCTGGGTGGTGTACAAAACAACCTTAGCGCTAAGGTGATCATAACTCCCACGACAGTCGCAGCGCTAAGATTGTTTTGTACAACGGCACCCTGGGAGTTACGCTCACCTTAGCGCTAAGATCGCTCTGTACAACACCACCAAGGCCTTTTTATGTTTCTATTTGGTGAATAGATTTTGACACTGAAGAATGTGGCTGGTAGGTTAAAAAATACAAATATATGTGAGGGACGAACCATTTAATATTCTGAGAGGGGCCTGGGATGGTATTTTTCGGGTACTTACCGGAGCCAGTGGGCATGTTTGACCAGGATTGCATCTCAAAGCCTCCTCCATAGTTGTCCAGGAGTTGTTTGGCCAGGGACTTGCTGGACATCAGGTCAACGATGTCCGCACACACGAAGGAGGCCTTCAACAGAGCACCTGCACCGTGGGAGGGGAAGTTATTAAGACATGTATCGGAGTAAACTTACCTGTTGGAATTGTCACTTTTGTAATAGTAATACAACTAGGATGGGTAACTCAACATTGATGACATCAACATTGATCTTCCCAATTGGGATACGATGACATGCATCATCCAAGTCAGCGAGCCTTACCCGTTTGTCGACAACAACCATAGAAGACAAGCTGAAGACCTATTCTAATCCGGCTCTTCATAGGGATTTTTGCAATACTAATTTCAATACTAAAACCTTAGGTTCATATTTCAACTTGTTATTTATCAGACCATAGTCACAAGAGATTCACAGATTGTTTGATCAGTAAACTGACATGCTCCACTCTGTCTTACCTGGGGTGTGGGGCTGGTAGTAGTCTTCAAGGTCACTCAGCTCCTTACACTCCACATACTGGCTCTCTGCAGTGTCGCTGCATATCTCCAACTTGATCACAGGCCTATTGGATGTTCATAGGCATTTATAGGTGTGTAAGTGACTGTTTAAGTGGCTACCTCATTGCAGAGGCTAATATTTGTAGAAAAGTACTAATCGCCAACCCAGCAAAAACATTGAACTCAATGCCACTTTAATCAATATTGCTGCTAACACCAGTACATATCCGTTTAATTTTGATAAACATACTAGTGCAAGGTTAGCCGTAGTTTAACTGCGGCAAATTTAACATTTGCTAAGCATTCCGAACCAAATTCCATTTAGTGAGGTTAAATCCTCAGATAATCTAGCTCTACACTGAAATCACAGCATGTTTATCTCCTAATTCAAACTTATTCCACTCTCTAATCGTACTTACTCGGGTATTCTTCGTGCTTTTACTCCAATAGGTCTCTGAAAAAATACAAAATTAATTTTAGGGAAATGAGTGAAAAAGTTGATTTTAACAATGCTTTGAACTGCTTTTGAGCCAAGACAGGTTTTGGGCGCATGGTGGCCCAGTCGTCAAAGGCGCTGCAATTTCCTGTGCAGAGTTGCATCCCTTAGGCACACCAGAAACCGATGATCGTGGGTTTGCATCCTGGTTTGCCCGGACTATGTTTCTAGGTTTGTCAGCACCATACATGTAATCGTGGGTTTAACCGAAGTGGTAAACGTCGGAGACCTGCATCAATTCGGGCTTTCATCCAACATTAAGCTGACATGCTATTATATACATTGTAACTGGAATACTGTTCAAAGCAGCGTTAAGCCCAACTCACTCACAACATGTTTGATGTAGGAGGATGAGGTGTCGCGTTCAAGATTTTTGCACTTATATAGCGATGTGCATACACATGTGCATGTGTTCGTGCGTCAATACATGAATACCCCACTCAGACACAGTACTCTACTGACTCTAAGCCGACCAGTCCTTGTTTTACCCCCTTAATGCTCAGCACCAAGCAGGGTAACAATAAGTACCATTTTTGACACCTCTTAGTATGAACCGCCGGGGATTGAACACCGGACCTTCCACACTCTGGGCAGATGCTCTACCACGAGACCATGAAGGCTGTCAGGAACGCCTGAAGTGTTGCAGGTCTTAGACATTTACCACTTCGGTCAAACCGACTGGTATGGTACTAACACAAATGAAGAATATAAATTAGATTGAACCGGGTGAAAGACAAGAACATAGGATTCTGGCGCACATAAGGGACACAACTCTGCACAGAGGTTCGTTGTGCCTTGGCCTACTCAGCCACCCCTATTTGGAATAAAACAGTGATGATGATGATGATGATGATGATGATGATGATGATGATGATGAAAAAGTACACACAGCATCAGCATCAACCTACCTTGCCGTTAATAAGTAGTCCAACGATTGTGACAGCGCCACCGTGTTCATATGTGATGGGGGGCGTGTCCGACCACCCCCCTGATATGTCAATACGGGCGGGGCACTCCGCCGTCACCCACTTGTTGATACGTGGCAGTGTTCCTTGTTGGGGGTTGAAAAACTGCAATGTAAGAAGTTAAAAATACTCACAGTGGTGGTGTGAATTAGGGGAGAAATATTCTGTTATTATTCAATATTCAATTTTGAGAGTAAACATTTTCACCATTAAAAACTCGATAGACTGAAATTGCATGATCTTTGTCAAATGATTTCAAACTGGCGAGTGAGTGAGTGGGTGGGTGGGTGGGTGAGTGAGTGAGTGAGTGAGTGAGTGAGTGAGTGAGTGGAGTGTGTGAGTGAGTGAGTGAGTGAGTGAGTGAGTGAGTGAGTGAGTGAGTGAGTGGAGTGAGTGAGTGAGTGAGTGAGTGAGTGTGAGTGTGAGTGAGTGAGTGAGTGAGTGAGTGAGTGAGTATGGTTTTAGGTCACTGTTAGTGATATTCCAGCAATATCAAGGCAGGGACACTAGAAAGGGGCTTCACACATCGAACCCATCTGGGTAATGAAGCCCGGGCATTCGGAAGACAAGCGAACCCTATACTTCTAGGCGACTCCAACGCCGGGTAGCCTAGTGGTTAAAGCGTTGGCTCGTCACGCACTCAAAACAGAAAGTGTGACAGTTCATATATGTGAGCAATAAACAATCCTTTTTAAATAAACAAATACCCCGGTATACAAATTTGCAGGATTGTTGAATGATTTTGCATGAGTCCGTGATCGTTGGCCTTATCTCCAAGGCCCAAGGCTACCCACCGTCCCTCCTCCTCCTCCTGAATATCAGTGATCCTACCTCCTTTGCTGTCATCACTGCCTGCCTGATGAGTATTTGTGCCGCCCCCTCGTAATGTCGCGCTGCCCTCACCAGGAGGTCAGGACGACCCAGCCAGCGCTCTCTCTCCTTGGCCAGAGCAGCCACACCCACTGCGAGGTCCTTAGCCTGGGAGGTCAGAGAAAATGTAAGACGATGAAAGACATTTATTAAAAACTAATAATAATGCAATCTCATTAAAATCAGATCACAGTTCTCGCTACCACTAAACAAAGATCTGAGGACATCCCATTACTGGTCACGTCAGACCGACCTTGCGCGAACTTTGACCGACCAATAGAATGACCAATCAGAAGGCAGCTTTCTCAAGTGCAGCTTACGGCACTAATTTCAAATTTGCGACTACGCTTCAAAACATATTTTGACAAATTCTCGATTACAAATTTGAAACCTGAACAAAAGAACATTCTGGAATGGCTAATAGATGGTCTAGATTGTATGGATTCCGTCATTAAACCCGTAACTATCGTTCGGAATACCCCGTGTTAAAGTTTTCGAGGATGCATGATTAGAAATCACATTCCGACTGTCACTTTCATAATCTGGTAAGTGACGCTCTGATTGGTTGGATGAAAGGTTGTTCTGACGTGACCCCTAATGGGATGTCTTCAGATCCTTGTTAGCGGTAGCGAGAACTAAGGTCTGAATTTTATGAGATTGCTAATAATGTTACATCATTAAAGAAATCAATCAAACCCACAAAAAATGATACCATATTTACTGGTGATATATTTGTCTCTTCATGCAGGATGCATTTGATATAATTATTTGTGAAGACCAGTGTACTGTCTTGGTTCACAGGGGTAGATTTAACAACTAATTTGTATGTAGTCAGCAGGGCTTGCTCCTATTAAATGTTACTGGCCCTTCTCCAAACTAACTGGCCTACAACTAAATGGTGGAGGCCACGAAGTGGATGAAACTTAGGTCACGGAGATACCTAGCAGGGCTCTGGACAAAAACCTCCTCACCCCCAAAACGCTTGTTCCTGCACGCTGAGATTAAATCTTGGCTTCCATTTGCCTCATTTCATAGTGATTCATGGACAGATAAAGGTGTTGTTGTACACAACATTACAAAATGGCGGCCGGTTGTCATTCTACCCAGATGATCAACATATATCTTTCTTTGAGTTAACCATTCACACGACCTCATCCCCCCTTAACATTTTCTCATCAAAATGACATGATTCACAGGAAGTGTCCAATTAAAAAAGTCAAAAATACATGGAGAAGGGGTGAAATTTTGACAGGCCAGATGGACCATCTACTGTGTTTCAGCAAGCCGCTTTGTACTAGTCCAGACTGATGCTGGTTTTATAGCAGTAGCTCACACACCGTGCCACAGTTTAACACTGAGTCCCCACTCACACACGGGCAGTCGGGTAGCCTAGTGGTTAAAGCGTTCGCTCGTCACTCCGGAGATCCAGGTTCGATTCCCGACATGGGTACAATGTGTGTCCCCCGCCGTGATATTGATGGAATATTGCTAAAAGCGGCGTAAAACCATACTCACTCACTCCACTCAGATACAGTATACTGACTCTAAGCCGAGTTTTAGCCCCTTAATGGCGAGCGCCAGACCGGGCAACAACAAGTACCATCTTTTAACGTCTTTTGGTATTATGCAACTATGAATCGAACCCCAGACATTCTGCTCTCCAGGCAGATGCTCATCTATGAAATTCACTTCATCCATAAAGCAAGAGTGAGGGAGTATGGTTTTGTGCCGCTTTTAGCAATATTTAAGCAATATCACGGCGGGGGACACCAGAAATGGGCCTCTCACATTGTACCCATGTCAGGAATAGAACTCAGGTCTTCGGGGTGACGAGAGAAGGCTTTAACCACTAGGCTACCCAACCGCCCCATTTGAGACATGAAATGTGAAAATTAACGTATTACCTCTTGGCATATTAAGCAACGGGGGATCGAAGCCCCAACTTTCTGCTTTCCAGGCAGATGCTCATCTATGAAATTAACATCCTCAGCGAAGCAAGAAAACATATTGGCCTGGCTTTAAGACATGAAATGTGAAAATGAACTTATTAGCTCTTGACATATACTTGCAATTGACGCATACAATAACAGTCAGCACAAAACCCCCAGAAACCAAGGACACAAATTTGAGCACAATTGTGCCTACTTCATCAATGCCTACTTCAAGATAGCCAAAAGCCTTGGACCAGGACTTGTTGGCTGCAGGCCCACTCCGCAGGCCCCCCTTATTCCCGGCCATGCAGCCCAGGACGTCCGCGATGTTGGCCAACGTCCGAGCAGCGATACCCGGCGACCTTGTGCTGCTAGCCACTGAAACCAGGCAATACAAAACTTCATCACTTCAGATGATCCTGTGAATGTCTGATAATATCTAAAATGAAAACCTCCGGACAGGTTGTCATACTAATACTGTGAAGATATTCTTGCATAGTAGTATTTCCTTACATAGATGAATGTGCAGGATTCATCTCGACCTGCTCAGAGGCTCAGATGTTGTTAATGCAACAACATCCTCATTCAGTCTTGCTTGACAACGGTATAAGGATCTATTCCGAAACGTCGCCTTTACAGTACTAAAGAAGCTGTTCTCCATTAATTGTGTCTACTTTGTCATCCGTCAACTTCTAAGTAATGCCTATAAAACAATTCATGTCTAGTGTTGTTTAATTGCAAATTTCATCGAACAAGTTTGTTATCTACTTGTTTGTTTACTTGAAGCGATAGGACGTAGTTTTTGACTGCGCACACACACAAAAAAGCAATTTTCCTAAACTTGTACCTAAGAATAGGGGTGCGTGTATACTCAAGTGCCCACTATACACATGAAACTATGGTATTTGCACCTTCATCTAGGGATTTGAGAATCGTCTGTGAGTATCCCTCGACGCTGGCGCTGTTGTAGACATTGCGGAATCCCTTGTGCTGCTGTTTGGTCAATACGTTGCATATTTCATGGTTGCTGATGTTGTAGAAGAGTTCTCTGGAACCAAAGTCTGTCATATCAACTAGCAGGCCGGCTTTGGAGAGGTAATATTTTACATCAAATAACATTGGCAGCCGCTTTGGGTTTAACGCCGCTTGTAACAGTATTCCAGTTATATCACGGCGTGTCAGCTTAATGTGGGAGGAAAGCCCGAAGTGATGCAGGTCTCAGATGTTTACCACTTCGGTGAAACCCACGAGCACGGGTATGGTGCTGACAAACCTAGAAACATAATCGGGGCGAATCGGGATTCGAACCCACAATCATAGGTTTCTGGCGCGTCCCTGACTCTACACAGCGGATCGCGGCGCCTAAGATGACTGGGCCAAGAGGAAAAGAAATTTATGGATTCATCATTCACCTGATGAAGGAGTAAGTATATACTCCGAAATGTTGTGTTCCTGATAATAAAGAAGTTGACATCCATAAATTTCTCTTCCTTAGTATTGACTGAATTTAATTTCAGATGTGAAACTACATCGATAGTAAGCATGCTTATTGAGAATATTCTTTATTATTTGCTACCCATGCTATTAGTAACCATAGCAACACTTATACTGATCCAGTCAATGCTTATTTGCACGAACGGAAAGAATTGGTTTCAATTCAGACTTACCGTCTCTGTTCAAATATTTTACCAGCATCAGTGAAAGTCTGGATTTCTTCCAGAGAGAGCCGCCACGAAGTGCGCCACCTGGTGGTAGAGAAGACATGCATCACGCATAGAGCCTGCTATAGCTTCTTGTGTAGAATATTTACCAATGAATATGGTGAGGTGAGGTGAAATAGGCTTTAACGTCGCGTCCAAGATTATTGCACTTATATAGCGACGTGCATGTACGTGTGTGTGTTTGTGTGGCTGCTTGTACTAGTCCGGACTGATGCCGATTTAAAGTGCTAGCTCACTGAGATACCATGCCGCAGTTTAACATGAATACCCCACTCAGACACAGTATACTGACTCCGAGCCGACCAGTGCTTGTTTTAGCCCCTTAATGCCGAGCGCCAGACAGGGTAACAACAAGTACCATCTTTTAACGTCTTTTGGTATGAGGCGGACGGGGATCGAACCCCGGACCTTCCGCTCTCCGGGCGGACGCTCTACCACTAGACCACGGAGGCGGTCACTAATAAATAATCTAGCCTGCGTATAATGTACAGTTGAAACCTGTAATGTTTTGCTTCCGGAAAGATCCTGGCAGGAGTGAACACATTTCAAACTTGTTAAAGCAGCAATGTAAATTTTCAAAAGTATATTACAAAACATGATTATATTGCCATTTAAAATGTACATGTATTTCCAAGCATTTGTAGTGATTGCTGCAAATCGGGAAAGTTTTGCACCATGAAATTACTATGAGTGGCTTAATAGCCTTAACTGCATCTAGATATTTTGTGACACCCTGGTAACATTACCAAGTATTAAAGCTACTTTTGCAGGTGTTGTATTTGATAAGTAGGGAGCGGCATGATGAAATGGTAACTCAGTGATTTTTTTACTATAGCTAGATGCATGAGTTGCTGTAGTTAACAATGGAGGTTGGAGTAGCATGTTTATCTCACAGAATAGACTGTGAATGTGGTGTTCACTCCGTCAGTGAGATGAGGACTGTGAATGTAGTGTTCACCCTGTTGGTGAGATGGAGGAAGGTGAATGTAGTCTTCACCCTGTCGGTGAGATGGAGGAAGGTGAATGTAGTGTTCACCCTGTCAGTGAGATGGAGGAATGTGTATGTAGTGTTCACCCTGTCAGTGAGATGGAGGAAGGTGAATGTAGTGTGCACCCTGTCAGTGAGATGGAGGAATGTGAATGTAGTGTTCACCCTGTCTGTGAGATGGAGGAATGTGAATGTAGTGTTCACCCTGTCAGTGAGATGGAGGAATGTGAATGTAGTGTTCACCCTGTCTGTGAGATAGAGGGATGTGAATGTCGTGTTCACTCCGTCAGTGAGATAAGGACTGTGAATGTAGTGTTCACCCTGTCTGTGAGATGGAGGAAGGTGAATGTAGTGTTCACCCTGTCTGTGAGATAGAGGGATGTGAATGTCGTGTTCACTCCGTCAGTGAGATGAGGACTGTGAATGTAGTGTTCACCCTGTCGGTCAGACGGAGGAAGGTGAATGTAGTGTTCACCCTGTGGGTGAGACGGAGGGATGTGAATGTAGTGTTCACCCTGTGGGTGAGATGGAGGAAGGTGAATGTAATGTTCACCCTGTCGGTGAGACGGAAGAAGGTGAATGTAGTGTTCACCCTGTCAGTGAGATGATGACTGTGAATGTAGTGTTCACCCTGTCTGTGAGATAGAGGGATGTGAATGTCGCATTCACTCCGTCAGTGAGATGAGGACTGTGAATGTTGTGTTCACCCTTATGGTGAGATGGAGGAATGTGTATGTAGTGTTCACCCTGTCAGTGAGATGGAGGAATGTGAATGTAGTGTTCACCCTGTCAGTGAGATGAGGACTGTGAATGTAGTGTTCACCCTGTCGGTGAGATGGAGGAAGGTGAATGTAGTGTTCACCCTGTCGGTGAGATGGAAGAAGGTGAATGTAGTGTTCACCCTGTCAGTGAGATGATGACTGTGAATGTAGTGTTCACCCTGTCTGTGAGATAGAGGGATGTGAATGTTGCATTCACTCCGTCAGTGAGATGAGGACTGTGAATGTAGTGTTCACCCTTATGGTGAGATGGAGGAATGTGTATGTAGTGTTCACCCTGTCAGTGAGATGGAGGAAGGTGAATGTAGTGTTCACCCTGTCAGTGAGATGGAGGAATGTGAATGTAGTGTTCACCCTGTCAGTGAGATGGAGGAATGTGAATGTTGTGTTCACCCTGTCAGTGAGATGGAGGAAGGTGAATGTAGTGTTCACCCTGTCAGTGAGATGGAGGAAGGTGAATGTAGTGTTCACCCTGTCGGTGAGATGGAGGGATTCGAATGTAGCGTTCATCCTTAGGGTGTGATGGAGGAATGTGAATGTAGTGTTCACCCTGTCTGTGAGACGAAAGAATGTGAATGTCGTGTTCACCCTTATGGTGAGATGGAGGAATGTGAATGTTGTGTTCACCCTGCTGGTGAGATGGAGGAATGTGAATGTCGTGTTCACCCTTAGGGTGAGTTGGAGGAATGTGAATGTAATGCTCACACTATCAGTGAGATGGAGGAATGTGAATGTTGTGTTCACCCTTAGGGTGAGATGGAAGAATGTGAATGTCGTGTTCACCCTGATGGTGAGATTGAGGAATGTGAATGTAGTGTTCACCCTGTCTGTGAGACGAAAGAATGTGAATGTCGTGTTCACCCTTATGGTGAGATGGAGGAATGTGAATGTTGTGTTCACCCTGCTGGTGAGATGGAGGAATGTGAATGTCGTGTTCACCCTTAGGGTGAGTTGGAGGAATGTGAATGTAATGCTCACACTATCAGTGAGATGGAGGAATGTGAATGTTGTGTTCACCCTTAGGGTGAGATGGAGGAATGTGAACGTCATGTTCACCCTTAGGGTGAGATGGAAGAATGTGAATGTCGTGTTCACCCTGATGGTGTGATGGAGGAATGTGAATGTAGTGTTCACCCTGTCTGTGAGACGAAAGAATGTGAATGTCGTGTTCACCCTTATGGTGAGATGGAGGAATGTGAATGTTGTGTTCACCCTGCTGGTGAGATGGAGGAATGTGAATGTCGTGTTCACCCTTAGGGTGAGTTGGAGGAATGTGAATGTAATGCTCACACTATCAGTGAGATGGAGGAATGTGAATGTTGTGTTCACCCTTAGGGTGAGATGGAGGAATGTGAACGTCATGTTCACCCTTAGGGTGAGATGGAAGAATGTGAATGTCGTGTTCACCCTGATGGTGAGATGGAAGAATGTGAATGTCATATTTACCCTTAGGGTGAGTTGGAGGAATGTGAATGTAGTGCTCACCGTTTGAGTATTGTCCTCTCTCCATCATCTGCGAGCTGTCCCTGCAGCCACAGAATCTCGCGCAGACCGATTACATCTGTGGCATGAAACACAGGGAACATCTTGGCCGTCAGTATCGTCTGATTGTCATTCTCCTGGAAGACAGGGAGATGAGCAAAGTTTGACCTCATGACAACTGTTAAAATTGATCAGTAGAGATAATTAGCCCAACACAGACATTATTATATTATATACTTCAGTGTGAAAGTTTTCTGTAGTTGAGAATAGTGATATTTTCACTGCAGTGAACATAACACTTGATATTTCACTGCAGTGAACATAACACTTGAAATTTCACTGCAGTGAACATAACACTTGATATTTCACTGCAGTGAACATAACACTTGATATTTCACTACAGTGAACATAACACTTCATATTTCACTGCAGTGAACATAACACTTGAAATTTCACTGCAGTGAACATAACACTTGATATTTCACTACAGTGAACATAACACTTCATATTTCACTGCAGTGAACATAACACTTGATATTTCACTGCAGTGAACATAACACTTGATATTTCACTGCAGTGAACATAACACTTGATATTTCACTACAGTGAACATAACACTTCATATTTCACTGCAGTGAACATAACACTTGAAATTTCACTGCAGTGAACATAACACTTGATATTTCACTGCAGTGAACATAACACTTGATATTTCACTGCAGTGAACATAACACTTGATATTTCACTACAGTGAACATAACACTTGATATTTCACTGCAGTGAACATAACACTTCATATTTCACTGCAGTGAACATAACACTTGAAATTTCACTGCAGTGAACATAACACTTGATATTTCACTGCAGTGAACATAACACTTGATATTTCACTACAGTGAACATAACACTTCATATTTCACTGCAGTGAACATAACACTTGAAATTTCACTGCAGTGAACATAACACTTGATATTTCACTACAGTGAACATAACACTTCATATTTCACTGCAGTGAACATAACACTTGATATATCACTGCAGTGAACATAACACTTGATATTTCACTGCAGTGAACATAACACTTGATATTTGACTGCATTGAACATAACACTTGATATATCACTGCAGTGAACATAACACTTGAAATTTCACTGCAGTGAACATAACACTTGAAATTTCACTGCAGTGAACATAACACTTGATATTTCACTGCAGTGAACATAACACTTGATATTTCACTACAGTGAACATAACACTTCATATTTCACTGCAGTGAACATAACACTTGATATATCACTGCAGTGAACATAACACTTGATATTTCACTACAGTGAACATAACACTTCATATTTCACTGCAGTGAACATACACTTGATATTTCACTGCAGTGGACATAAAAACTTGATATTTCACGGCAGTGAACATTATACTTTGACGGAAGAATTGCTGTATCATATATCCCAGTAAACAGATGCATTTCTTATTCTAAAATTAGGAATATAGGGGATAGTTGGCATTTAAAATTAGCAATGTTAAAACAATAATGGTTATTAGCATGTCTGACTATAGTTTTGAAAAATAGTTTTTAAATTTTTTTGCATCATTTTAATCATAAAAACTCCTCAAAATCTGTTAATCTTCACAAACTAAAACATATGATTCTTAAAGTGATTATAAAGAAGTTAAATATTTGACAATGACTAACAAGATCAAAAGCTAGTTAAAATTACATGTGATTATTTCTTGACAAAGTCTGCAACATATTTTGCATAATCATCATAATTTGCAGAATTTAGTTCCAAATATGGTAATAATTCTTCAAAAATCATCCAGGTTGGCATCACAGGTACATTTCTCCCATACCATATATGGCATTGTGAACTTAACTTTGAAAAAATGTTCCCAATGCTGTGATCACCTGCCGGACTTCACTTACCAACTCCGTCCCCCACAGGTCCTCCTTGGTGATGCCCGTCCTGTTGAGGACCACTAGCCATGGCTCGTTACAGAAGGAGCTGGTGCTCTTCCATGACGGCGCCTGCACAACACAAGACATCACCCGCAGGCATCAGCCAACCACCAGAGCGGACTACGTCATCTAGGATCTATTTTCTAATCCGTATACTACTTATACGTTCGCTTCCAGCAAAAATGTCTCAGACTTCTGATCCCAAAATAGGCATAAAGGATCGGTGGCCATTTGATCAAAAATACAAAGTTGAAATGAAGGACAAAAGTATGCAATAACAGTCAAATGTTACAAATAAAGTATTAAATTTTAATAATAAAGGTCGAAATACAAAACAAATAGATGCCGGTATAAAGTACGAAGCTGAAATAAAGGTAAAAAGTATGCTAAAACAGTCAAATGTTACGAAAAGACATCATATGAAACGAAAGAACAATGTGTACTAAAGAACGTCAGTGCACATGAAAGGACACTAAACTGCTAAAGGATGTTGACAATATAGAACGCCGGATGGCGAGTTTAATCGGCTTGTTCCGCTGTGTATATGATAACTGCATGCTGAGATGCACAATGTCTTGCGTCATTTTCATAACATCTGAAATGTGAACATTGTGCGAGGATTGCGTTTGCCTGGCCGCCCATACTAGAATATGTTATATACAATTTTGACAAAACGTTTTTGGAAGCACATATCTTTGATCATAGATGAAACCATTTTTTAAACTTTCTCTACAACAGAGGTCACAAGGTTGGACCATTTGTATTATCAGACAGAGCATCACTTCAGTGTTAGTGAGAATGTACACGCTCTAACTGATCATGTGATTGTAAACAAGATCAGGTGCTTGACAAATATTGTTATGACTAAACTGCATAAACCTTTTTACTTTGGTTTAATGTCACCTAACTATTATCAGATTCTCCCCCTCTGTTGACCATCAGGAACTTATCATGACAGTATGGTTTGGAAGTCAGCGAGTCGTGGAGTTGTGTGTAACACTGCTTTGAACTGTATTTCAGTTATGTCACAGCCTGTCAGCTTGACGTGGGAGGATTTTGGTTTGGTTTGTTGTTTAACGCCGCACTCAGCAATATTCCAGCTATATGACGGCGGTCTATAAATAATCAAGTCTGGACCAGACAATCCAGTGATTAATATCATGAGCATCGATCCACGCAATTGGGATCGATGACATGCATCAACCAAGTCAGCGAGCCTGACCACCCGATCCCTTTAGTCGCCTCTTACGACAAGCATAGTCGCCTTTTACGACAAGCATGGGTTGCTGAAGAATTATTCTACCCTGGAATCTTCACGGGTTGACATGGGAGGAAAGCCTGAAGTGATCTATATACCCCTTGGTGAAATCTGAGTACAGAAAGGGTACTTACAGACTTAGGATCTTAGGTTCACATCTGGGATCCACAGTCAGCTAATGTGTATTGCTAATGCAGGCGACGTGAAATGGAGCTTAACGTCACGTTCAAGATAATGGCAATTAAATAGTGACGTGCTTAGTGTGTGTGGCTGCTTGTACTAGCCCAGACGAATGGTTTATAGTGCTAGCCCACAATTTAGCTACAATTTCCCGTAAATACCCCACTCAGACACAGTATACTAACTCCAAGCCGACCAGTCCTTGTTTTAGTCCCTTAATGCTGACTGCCAGACAGGGTAACAACAAGTACCATCTTTGTCTTTTGGTATGACGCAACCAGGGATGGAACCACTGACCTTCCGCTCCCTGGGATGATGCTCTAGCTATCCACGGGACAAGGAGGCAGTATTTCTGATAGAAGTGGCAGCTAAATATCTATAACTTGTTTGTCAGCCTCCTGACCTAGGCCCTGTTTCACAAAGCAACAGTATCAGTACACCATCCTATGATGGAATGCAGGAGGTAAGCCTGCTTTGTGAAGGAGGGCTGAGATGCAGACCAAGCGAAACATACCTTGATGTTGTCGAACCTGCCATGGACAGTAAGGACATATGGACTTGTCCTTAAGGTCTTCAGATAGATGTGGTACCCCTGAATCACTAGTCCTTCACCGAAGTTGATCGTTCTCTTTTTCTTCTACAACAAGAAATGACAGATTTACACCATTGACACTGTGACAGATATCCTTACCGAAGGCTGTGCCAAATATACGATCAGACTTTCACGTCTGCCTGCATCGTTACCAGATCTCACATCATCATTTTGTTGTCAGGTGCCTACAGATGTACCAATCACTAAGGGTGTTCCCTTCTGCGTTTGGTATTTGGTGGTTTTATTGGATTTCCACAAATGAACTACAAGGGAGATAACTCATCAACTTCTTGTGAAACAACTGGTTTTGGGTAAATTCTGAGAGGACTTCATTATAGGTCATACTTGTTTCCAACAAGTATTTACATAAATGAAAATGAAACTTGTCACTGCGTTTATTGTCATGCTATATGTAGATTCAGACAATAACAATCAACAATGAAATTTAAACTCGCCAAAACATGTCATTTAAGAGATAAATATTGATATTTCTTGGTTATATTGGATTTATACAAATGAATGAGTATTTTTCATGCATCCTTGGGTCTGTTTACCACAATGTAAAAGTTCAGATCACTCAAATATGTCATCAGAGATAAACAGTGTATTGATATTCTATGCCTAGCCATCTTGGAATTTTGGGCCACCAGGGGGCTCTGGTGATGGAGTTTCTATCTAAAAGTGTTAACTATACTTCAGTGAGTTAGTGTGCCAAGTTATATGACTATAAGTCCTAGCACACTGTTTTAAAGTTAAAAAATTCAACAGTGTAAACACACATTTAGGAATCTTGTCGGCCATCTTGAAATTGGTGGCCATCTTGAATTTTTCCAGATTTGTCAATAGTCGAAAACGTTCAGTAGTTGTGAATATCTTTTTAGAAACATAATACGGCTATTTCGTAATACAACACATGCTCTTTTTCATCAAAACATTGAACCTCATCTGAAATATGGAAGATATATTGTTAATTGGTGGCCATATTGGATTATGCAATTTAGACATATTTCCCAAACTGGTATTTGCTTGGGACTTTTAGTATGTTGTTTTAGTATGTTAAATTCTGTTGCAATTTGTTCCAGTGAAACCTTATTTTGCCTGGACTATTACTTCAAAACAGCAACAAGAAACTCTGATAACTTGTACCTATCATCACTGAATTATTGAAAATTAAACAAAATGTCTTACACTGACTTCCTCTACGTTGAGACAGGTGATGACAGAGTCTCGTCCAATGTTGATCCGTCCATGTAGGTCACAGTGGCTCACAACACTCCGTGCTGCAACAGTTACCTCCCCTTGCAAGCGGCTGTTGATGATTGTGACCTTGTCATCCACCTGACCTTCACCCTGAAATGTTACCGATATACAGTAAAGTACGGTTATAACGAACTCAAAGGGACTACTAATTTTAGTTCGTTATAACCGTAGTTCGTTATAAGCATATATACAATATAACAACAGCATATAGTCGGGACCAAAAATGTCAGTTCGTTATATCCGTCAGTTCGTTATAAGCGTGTTCGTTATAACCGTAGTTTACTGTAATCAAATATTAGAGGTATTCTAGGTTGCTCCCATGCAAGACAGATCGCCATTTGACTTCCTTTTAACTGGTAATTCACTCAAGAAGACACAAAACTAGTCCACATTATAAAGTTGAAGGCTATCATTGATCAGTGAGTGGGTGAGTTGGGTTGAACAATATTCCAGTTATATCACGGCGTGTCTGCTTATTGTGGGAGGAAAGCCCAAAGTGATGCAGGTCTTAGACGTTTATTTTTTCGTGAAACCCATGAGCACGTGCTGACAAACCTAGAAACATAATCAGGGTGAACCGGGATTCGAACCCACAATCATAGGTTTCTAGCGTAGCGAAGGCACGCAACTTTGCACAGCGAATTGCGGCGGCTTAGACGACTTGGCCACGCTTCACCTTCATTGATCAGATGAGCTTGGTTTTGGCATCACGTGTCAGTCAACATTCAGTCTATAATCATGGAAGGAGTATCAGACAACGTCATGAATCTGATATCAATATTCTGATTAATGACTGTTATTTAGAACCACTTTAATCAGAATTCAGTTACAAAACAGTTTTTTATTCAAATATAAATATCTGAAAAGGACCCAGGTTATGAATCCCACTCGCATTGCCACACTTGATATCATTATCAGGACAAATCTAGGATTAGAACCAGATGATAAGCTGAAAAAAGTCTTTAGACAACTCATCTTCCTGAGGCAAGGGCGTTAACTGACTATAAAAGTCCTGTTTCCACCCTTGCTGAACTAGGCTGGTATTATGGAGTTACAGTTTGGCTGGATTAATGAGTCTATGCAGAATCCAATCAAATTTGTGCAACGAATTCGAAATCCGGTTCGTAAACTGTAATGCAGATTTGCAAAGCATGTGCACAGCCAACTCGTTGTCAACAGATATTTGGGGTGGGGTGGCTGTGAAGGAAAAACTGAAAATGTGTGGCATAAGGAAGAGAATTTATGGATGTCAACTTCGTAATTATCAGTAACACAAACGTTCCAGAGTACATACTTACTCTTTCATCAGGTGAATAATTGTTATGAAGCAGAGAACATACATACCTACCTGTGACAACAAACAAAATAATAAGCTAACAAAGGCCGACACAAATGGACAAATGGAAGCCAACACAAACTGGATAACTGATAACCAGGATTTTAATTATCACTGAAGCGATGGGCAACTGGAAGCAAGGACTTAAAATCAGATCAGAAGTTGTTTGATCAGGGTTACAACATTCAAGGCCTCAGTAAAGCTTTCAAAAAGTTTTATGGTGGACATGTGGAGGACATTTCCAAATTTGATGTCAAATGCAATTCCCTATTTTGACTTGTACTATATGTTTCCATGTTTTTTTATTAGGTGAACAATTGATTTGCTTTTGCATGTGTTTGTGATGATTGCTGACAGTGGGGCAGGATACACTTACCTTTTCGCGAACACCTGGTATCATTTCTATTTGATAGTGATTCATAAACACATGCTCATGATATAGTCAGAATTAACAATCGACTCTGCTTTATGCCGAGATTTCGATTGGACAGGGAAAGGGTTTTGTCGCTTTATTTAAAATTAACTTAAATAACCAATAAAGTTGACAACCAGAAATTCTCTTCCTTATGTGTATCAGTCATATCAGGATGTGGCAGCCTATTGTGGGAGGAAAGTCCCAAGTGATTGAGTGAGTGAGTGAGTTTGGTTTTACGCCGCTTTTAGCAATATTCCAGCAATATCATGGCGGGGGACACCAGAAATGGGCTTCACACATTGTACCCACGTCGGGAATCGAAACCGGGTCTTCGGCGTGACGAGCGAACGCTTTAACCACTAGGCTACCCGACCGCCCAAAGTCCCAAGTGATTCAGGTCGTAGATGTAACCACACTTAGCATGAGGATGGTGCTGAAAAACCAAGAATCATAATGAACCTAGCCCAGGATTCCGGGACAAAGTAGATCCTTGTATCCTTTGTCTGTTGTACAAGGTTAAATGGATCGAGTGGTATCTGGAGAACTTCAGGAACACCGTCTGGCACACCGTCAGGAGAGCAATACCTACCTCCATGCAGGAGTGGATGATGTTGCTCCAGATGAGATCCTTGAAGCCACATCTCTCCAGGGGACAAGCCAGCATCATCTTCTTGTGTTCCGAGGCCAGGTCCGTCAGGTAGAGGAAACTCCCACCCTCCACCATGCCTGCAGTGAGTGAGTGAGTGAGTGAGTGAGTGAGTGAGTGAGTGAGTGAGTGAGTGAGTGTGTGAGTGAGTGAGTGAGTGAGTGAGTGAGTGAGTGAGTAGATATGGGAGTGAGTAGGCGTGTGAGTGGGTAGGTAGGTGTGGGAGTAGGAGTGGGAGTGGGAGTGGGAGCGGGCGCGGGTGCGGGCGCGGGAGCGGGCTAGGGAGTTGGAGTGGGCGTGGGAGTGGGAGTGGGAGCGGGAGCGGGAGTGGGAGTGGGAGCGGAAGGAGTGGGAGTGGGAGTGGGAGTGGGAGTGGGAGTGGGAGTGGGAGTGGTAGTGGGAGCGGGAGTGGGAGTGGGAGTGGGAGTGGGAGCGGGAGTGGGAGCGGAAGTGGGAGTGGGAGTGGTAGTGGGAGTGGGAGTGGGAGTGGTAGTAGGAGCAGGAGTGGGAGCGGTAGCGGGAGCGGTAGTGGGAGTGGTAGTGGGAGTGGGAGTGGGAGTGGTAGTAGGAGCAGGAGTGGGAGCGGTAGCGGGAGCGGGAGTGGTAGTGGGAGTGGGAGTGGGAGTGGGAGTGGGAGAGGGAGTGGGAGTGGTAGTAGGAGCAGGAGTGGGAGCGGTAGCGGGAGCGGGAGCGGGAGTGGGAGTGGGAGCGGGAGCGGGAGCGGTAGCGGGAGCGGGAGCGGTAGCGGGAGCGGGAGCGGGAGCGGTAGCGGTAGCGGTAGCGGTAGCGGTAGCGGGAGTGGGAGTGGGAGTGGGAGTGGTAGCGGGAGCGGGAGCGGTAGTGGGAGTGGGAGCGGGAGTGGGAGTGGTAGCGGGAGTGGTAGTGGGAGTGGGAGTGGGAGTGGGAGTGGGAGTGGTAGCGGGAGTGGTAGTGGTAGTGGGAGTGGTAGTGGGAGTGGGAGTGGGAGTGGGAGTGGTAGCCGGAGTGGGAGTGGTAGCGGGAGTGGGAGTGGTAGTGGGAGTGGGAGTGGGAGTGGGAGTGGGAGTGGGAGTGGGAGTGGTAGTGGGAGTGGGAGTGGGAGTGGTAGCCGGAGTGGGAGTGGTAGCGGGAGTGGGAGTGGTAGTGGGAGTGGTAGCGGGAGTGGGAGTGGTAGTGGGAGTGGGAGTGGGAGTGGGAGTGGGAGTGGTAGCGGGAGTGGGAGTGGTAGCGGGAGTGGGAGTGGTAGTGGGAGTGGGAGTGGTAGTGGGAGTGGGAGTGGGAGTGGGAGTGGTAGCCGGAGTGGGAGTGGTAGCGGGAGTGGGAGTGGTAGTGGGAGTGGGAGTGGGAGTGGGAGTGGGAGTGGGAGTGGTAGTGGTAGTGGGAGTGGGAGTGGGAGTGGTAGCCGGAGTGGGAGTGGTAGCGGGAGTGGGAGTGGTAGTGGGAGTGGTAGCGGGAGTGGGAGTGGTAGTGGGAGTGGGAGTGGGAGTGGGAGTGGTAGCGGGAGTGGGAGTGGTAGTGGGAGTGGGAGTGGGAGTACTAGTGGGAGTGGGAGTGGGAGTGGGAGTGGGAGCGGGAATGGGAGCGGGAGCAGGAATGGGAGCGGGAGCAGGAATGGGAGCGGGAGCGGTAGCGGGAGCGGGAGCGGGAGCGGTAGTGGGAGTGGGAGTGGGAGCGGGAGCGGAAGCGGGAGTGGTAGTGGGAGTGGGAGAGAGGGACATAAGTGTTGCAGAGAGGATGGATATTAAATTTTTTATAAACACAGTGAAACCTTGTCTAAAATGAAATAATGTTTACAGCACTGGAACTGTATGGTTCCGTCTGAGATCTTCTCCTCCTTGCACAGTATGACCCCCTTTCACACCCTGTCGTTCTAGGTACCAAAACATACATTACGGACAACAATATACGCTGGTTCTATAGCCTTGTATCTCCGTGCCAGTAAACCACGAGCCCCAAAAAATCAAGAGGATTAAAAAAACCTTAATCCTTAATCTCAACATTTTGACACTGTTTTCATGGAAAGTGAAAAGATATAATGGATTTCTAAAAAACAAACTTTGTTCATATAGGTTCCAAATTTAATTGTTTATTGACTGTTGCTATGGAGACTGGGGTACACAGACAAAAAAAACTAAGGATCCAACTCACATGTCCTCATCCTGTATCCATGGAGCTCCTTCCACAGAAGAGATCGAGCCAGCGCCATGTTGGTCCGAGACTCGCTGCTCTCCTGCTGCATGGGTTTACCAAAGGTGCCGCTTCTCTCCCCAGATACAAAGTCCGTCTCAGAGAGACCAGTTGTCATTGGCAACAGGACGTCAAAATACAGAGAGAGCTAGAAACAGATTTTAGACTTGGATACTTATAGATTTGGAATCTGTTTGAATATAACTTTAAAATCACCATCATCATCATTGTTATTGTCATTTTATTATTATTATCATCATCATAAATTTATATACATAACATCTCAAATGGATCCATTTGCATTCCTGTAATCATTCCCAACTCCCTGTGGAGTATACAACCCAAGCTGCCTATGGGCGATAGAGGGTTTTTACGTCCACCTCACATACGGGGTACCCATTCTCTGCTGGGTGAACCGAGGCACAATTGATCCAAGTCACTTGCCCAGGGTGACACCACATGTTTCGACACTTGTGTTTCGGGTGTGTGTACGTATTCGTGTTCCAACACCTGGTCATCTACCATCGGATGAGTGGGTTCTTTTGAGTGCACAGGGTGCATGAACTGTACACTAGAGGTAGTGCGACACTGTCAGGACCTGAGATCATGGTTGGTCTCGAGGCCATAACAACCTGGTCACAAGCGGGATACGATCTCAGCACCAGGAGCTTGCTTGCCTTGTGCTTTTGACCGCTTGCCCACTCCACCTCCAAAAATGAGGTAAGTAGATATATAACTCATGGCCTGTTACCTGGAGGGGAGGCTGACCGCTGTCCAGCCCCATGTATGTGCAGGCGTCAAGTGGCGGTTTCATGTAGAAGGACAGCAGTTTGCCAGCAACTGCCTCATTGAAGTAAACAATTCCCACCACCTGAAGGTATACAAATTAATTAGAAAAAATTACAACAAATGTTATATTTGGGATAACACTTTCTTAGTACAGATATCGCCAGCACACAATCACCAGTACGTGATCTAGACTACCAGTTGTCGGACTTTCATTTTTTGTGGAAGCCTCGGTGGCTGAGTGGGTTAGATCGTTGACTTTGCTGGCGATTAGGTGCCTCACTCTGGCAGCGTGGATGCGAATCCCAGACGGGACTCAGCCAAAAAAAGTATGAGAATCTGTAATCTACTAAGAAAGTGTTACATTTGTTACATTTGATCACTTTCTAAATGGCATTGCGTGTTCCAAAAAATTGAGAAACATTATGTATTTATTCTAAGTCATAGTCAACTATATCACAGCGGCCTGAAAATACTAGCAATAGTGTGCTGGGGTCAAATTCTTACCGTTTAGACACATGAGAACAACACAAACTCAAAACAACCTGAAGGTGGTATGATTTGTTTGTTTGTTTGTTTTTTGTTTAACGCTGTCATTTCGATCATAAACAAGAGGTTTACCAAACCCCTAACAAAGTCATCAGTTGTAACGAAATCTCTGAATTCTAACAGCAAGTATTCTGAACACTGTGTTAACTCAAATAGGATTCTTGTTCCAGCTTTGATTTGATGTGAGCGATCTGACCGATGTTACCGACATATTTCATCACAGATACTCACGGAAGGCACGGATCCATCTGACCTCTGACACGACTCCAAATTTCCAACTTTTTCCTTGTACAGAATGTCCTCTACGAATCCCTGGAATAACATGGCAGTCAGGTGATTTATTATCTACTCAAAACACAAAAACTTCCTATGATGATGTACATGTGTTTACATTAACTGATCATTAAACGTAATAATGTTAATGAGGCCATATGGCTTCACAAACTGATCAGCCTTCTCTATACACAACAAGGAACTTAGTTCACAGTTCACAATAGCTTGATGTCATATGTAGATATACTGGGGTCCAAAAGAAAGTCACACATCAAATGTTTTATTCCCTCTCATACTGCTGAACATCTCCAATTTACATGAAGAATTTGCCAATCGCTCTGCATAATTTGAATTTAATATTTTTAAATTTTTGCATTTGTGGGCCATATCATTTGGGTCCATGTTTGATTGTGAAGGAACGGGTTCTCAAACTCCATGAGCAACTTCCCATCATTTTCAAGATCCACCCTTCCACAATCCACCCCACCCAGATCCACCCCTCCAGGATCCACCCCTCCAGGATCCTCTCCTCCAGGATCCACCCCTCCAGGATCCACCCCTCCACTAGGATCCACCCCTCCAGGATCCACCCCTCCAGGATCCACTCCACCAAGATCAACCCCTCCAGGATCCACCCCTCCACTAGGATCCACCCCTCCAGGATCCACCCCTCCAGGATCCACTCCACCAGGATCCACCCTCCAGGATCCACCCCTCCAGGATCCTCTCCTCAAGGATCCAGTCCACCAGGATCCACCCCTCCAGGATCCACCCCTCCACTAGGATCCACCCCTCCAGGATCCACCCCTCCAGGATCCACTCCACCAGGATCCACCCTCCAGGATCCACCCCTCCAGGATCCCCTCCACAAGGATCCACCCCTCCAGGATCCTCTCCTCAAGGATCCAGTCCACCAGGATCCACCCCTCCACCAGGATCCACCCCTCCACCAGGATCCACCTCTCCACCAGGATCCACCCCTTCAGGATCCACTCCAAAGGATTTACCCTCCAGGATCCACCCCTCCAGGATCCACTCCACAGGATTCTCCCTCCAGGATTTACCCTCCAGGATCCACCCCTCCAGGATCCACTCCACAGGATTCACCCTCCAAGATCTACTCCACCAACAACTCCAACAATTATGAACTTTGTCACTCAAGGCTCTATGTCAGAACACCTTGTGTACTCACCTGCGTATCAATTTTAAACACTCCATGGTCCTTACAATACTGGGGAGTGGATGGTACAGTGATAGCAATGGCTTCCGACTGCTCCCATGGAATTTCTACAACATTGACAACAGAGTTTCAGTTTGGCTTTATAGCAGCACAAGAAATACTGAACAATACAAATTTTGCCAGTCACTATATTTGATAGTTTGATAGGCATCTGGAAGTTCAAAGAACATCAGTGATGATGATGATGATAAATTGTTTTGCTTGTGGTTTTACTCTGCACTCAGCAATATTCCTGCCATATTCCTTCAGTGATAAGATATTGTGAGCGGTGAACCGCGTCATCAGAGTACGATGACACTCAATCAACCAAGACACCGACTCTAAGCACCGGATCAATTGGCTGGCCTTTTATGACCAGTAGATTTCTGGGGACCAATTCTAACCCAGAATCCCCTTGGCGTTACAACAGAGGGATGACCATTTCGGACAATTGAAGGTATCCATACTTAGGGACAGAATTATCTTTATTTTTATCAGGGTTGAAAAGGACACTCAAAAATATGTTCAAATGTTCCGTTTTGAACTTCTGTATGCTAACAAGTCATGTGTTGTGAGACTATGAAATGGCAGCGCGAAGTGTGGAAAAGTAATACGCTTACACTGATACTTGTTAGTATGGGTGTTTCTGTTGGCTTCACATTAATCATAATATACACCGCTACAAGATATTTAAATTTAAAACCTGTGAAGATCCGGGGTAGAATAGGTCTTCAGCAACCAATTCTTGCCGTAACAGGTGACTACGCTTGTCATGAAAGGCAACTAACGGGATCAGGTGGTCAGGTTCGCTGACTTCGTTGATGCATGTTGTCGTATCCCAATTGCGTGGATCGATGCTCATGATGTTAATCACTGGATTGTCTGGTCCAGACTCGATTATTTACAGACCGCAGTCATATAGCTGTAATATTGCTGAGTGCTGCATTAAACAACAAGCAAAATAAACAAAATATAAATTTGAAAAGATTACTGTAGCTGGGTGTCAGATAATGCTCTTATTATCAGAGAACTCACCAGCATCAATTGGGATGGAGAGGAGCATGTCCGTGCTGCCGATCCAGACACCGGGGTCGGCCTTCACTGCCAGCTGAAATATTGTGTCAACTAAGCATATAATCGCCATTATTGTCGCAGGCTATTTTTTCATAATGATCATACAAGATACTTCTAACCCTTCATTTTTTGCAAGTTATCTGATATTGACACAGCCCACCTCACCTGCAATGTCATAAAGTCACATGTCAGTTCTTGCTACTGCTATACAAGCTCATGATTAACACTGGACCTCAAACTTCCATTCATTGGAAATGTTCCCTAAGAGGATGCCAAACTACCATTAACACAAAGACTTTGTAGGGGCACGGGTGGCCCAGTCGTCTAAGGCGCCACGATTCGTTTTGCAGAGTTGCGTCCCTTGGGCAGGCCAGAAACCTATGATTGTGGGTTCGAATCCCGGTTCGCCCCAATTATGTTTCTAGGTTTGTCAGCACCATACCCGTGCTCGTGGGTTTCACCGAAGTGGTAAACGTCTGAGACCTGCATCACTTGGGGCTTTCCTCCCACATTAAGCTGCCATGCCACGATATAACTGGAATACTGTTAAAAGCAGCGTTAAACCCAACTCACTCACTCACAAAGACTTTGTCACAAAGCACAACACTATATCACTGAAGAGTTGGTCACTGCCAGCAAATCATCTGAAAAAAATCATTGAGATACTGCGGGTTGAGCTGGATAATACCGCGACCACAATCCAGTTTGTTTGATGCCACCCAAAAAGAAGTTTGGAAACCTAGACTATGCCCATGAGAGGGAGACGGGACAACTGCTTGCCAACCAGAAACCAGTGAACGATTATTGTTAATAGTTTGTTTGTTTTAATGCCGCACTCAGCAATATTCCAGCTATGTGATCGCGGTCCGTATAAATAATCGAGTCTGGACCAGACAACCAAGTGATTGATATCATGAGCATTGATCCACCTAATTGGGATCGATGACATGCATCAACCAAGTCAGCGAGCCTGACCAGCTGATCCCGTAAGTCGTCTCTTACAAGAAGTATAATCGCCTTTCACGGCAAGCATGAGTTGCTGAAGACCAATTCTAACCCAGATCTTCATGGGTATATTGTTTATAGTACCCAAAATGATGTTAGTAATAAAATGCTAATTACAGATTGTTAACTGTTATTTTAATTATTCACAATAAGGTGACATTTCACACATTCAACAATGAAAACAATGTTGTTATATTTGTAGGACTAATAGTAATAGTAGAACTACTATACATATATATTGGACAATTGATAATCCCAAAAAGCATCGCAACCAATTTTTCACTTCACTTGCCCTTTAAACACTTGTCTGAAGTCTGGATCTAGTAGAGTCAAGTAAGCTAATAGTCCATTTACTAATATAAACTCTACAGAAATTGCTGCCAAATCGTTATTGGCACAGACTGTGCAAAATCTTTTACATGAATGAAATGTACAAGTCTTTCTTAAAGCAAGGAGTATATTACACTAATATTGATTAAAATGATAAATAAAACAAGTGTATAATTACAATTAATACAACAGATATTAACCTCACCAGTTGATGACAAGATGGATTCTCAATATAACTTTCAATATAAAACTCACTTTTTCTGTGAATATTTTCAGGTAGGTGTCAATGGTGTCGACAAGGCCATCATACTGTGGGGAGGCGTGGTGCACAGGAAGTGTCATGAAGACCCGGCCACACGTGTCATAGCCGTACGGTCGACCCTGGCACAAACACACAGAAGACATGTTGATGGGGACTATTTTAATCCATTTCATTGAGATAAGTAATGAATGCCCCCTCTCCTATCCCACAGAGGTGATGTGATGTGATGTGATGTGATGTGATGTGATGTGATGTGATGTGATGTGATGTGATGTGATGTGATGTGATGTGATGTGATGTGATGTGAGGTGAGGTGAGGTGGGGTGACGTAAAATGGGGTTAAACATCGCATTCAAGATTATTGCACTTACATAGCGACGTGCATTCACGTGTGTGTGGCTGCTTGTACTAGTTTGGACAAATGCCGGTTTGATAATGCCAGCCCACTGAGATACCATGCTGCAGTTTTAAAATGGATACCCCACTCAGACACAGTATGAGGACTGCGAACCGACCAGCCCATATTATGGCCCCTAAATGCTGAGTAAGAATGTACCATCTTTAAATGTCTGATGCGGTATCTCCATCTCCCGGCAGATGCTGTATCCACTAGACCACAGAGGCAGTCAAACAAGGAAAGAGCAAACAAAGATATAGAAGGGTTTCACTGGGGCTATCTATCCCCTATCTAGTTCAGGGGACTCACAGTGATATATTTTGGGGGCCAGGCTGGATGAGATGAGGCATGCTTCACCTGATTTCAAACAACTTATGGGGGCATGGGTGGCCCAGCCACAATTTCCTAAGCAGAGTTGCCTCCCTTGGGGATGCCAGGAACTAATAATTGGGTTCAAATCCTGATTCGTCCGATTCATGTTTCTAGGTTTGTCAGCACCATACTCATGCTTGTGGATTTCACCAAAGTGGTAAACGTCCGAAACCTGCATCACTTCAGGCTTTCCTTCCACGTCAAGCTGACAAGCCAATATATAACAGGAATACTGTTCAAAGTGGCGTCACATGGTAGAAGGTTCCTTGCTAACGGCTTGGGCCAACACAATTCTTCCAGGAGGGACAGATAGTCTGTAATTCCTCACAGCTTATTAGTCATAAACTAGAAAATCCCTGTCTTCACAACTTACGTGATGGAGGATGAGAATTTTGGCATCTTCAAGTACATCTGGGTTGATCACCTGAAACAAGCAAAAGAATGAGTTTTCAACACAGATAAAAAAACTGCACCCATGGTACTGATGGCTTCCAGTATTGCCAATACAACTTGTACGGAGATATATAGAGATTACCGTATTTGACGTAATAAGCACCCAGGGCGCTCTAAAAAATAGAAATAGGGGGCTCTTATTAGAATATTATTTTGGTGGAAAACACAGAGTTGAAAGATAAATTTCGTGGTTAATGCTGACGGCCTGAACTATTTATATATGACAGATATATTTTTCCTGTATTTAATTTCCCATAATTAAGGGTGTATATAACACATGCGTGCGTATTATACACGAATAAATAAGTCTTGTGTACATTGATCAATCGGAAGGGGTGCTATTTGGGATTATTCACTTGCCAATATATTAGCAAATAAAGCCGTGGGCGCTTATTAGAGCGGGGCGCTTATTACGTTGAATACGGTATTAGCTTTTGTGTTTTTTGTGATAAACAGAACTTGAATTTGAACTTAATATATTTTAAATTAAATCTTAATTTTTAAAAAACATTTTATTTCGAAATTCGAAAGTTATATTTGAACCCCTTGACATCTAAGACTCACCGTGTAGCCCTTCCTAGCACTGATGAACTCTACAACTGTCAGTAGGGCCTAAGTGATATTTGAACCCCCTGATGTCAAAGACTCACCATGTAGCCCTTCCTAGCACTGATAAACTCTACAACTAGGGCCTAAGTGATATTTGAACCCCTTGTCATCTAAGACCAAACATGTAGCCCTTCCTAGCACTGATGAACTCTACAACTAGGGCCTAAGTGATATTTGAACCCCTTGTCATCTAAGACCAAACATGTAGCCCTTCCTGGCACTGATGAACTCTACAACAGTCAGTAGGGCTTAAGTGATATTTGAACCCACCCCCTGACATCTAAGACTCACCGTGTAGCCCTTCCTGGCACTGATGAACTCTACAACAGTCAGTAGGGCCTAAGTGATATTTGAACCCCTTGACATCTAAGACCAAACATGTAGCCCTTCCTAGCACTGATGAACTCTACAACTGTCAGTAGGGCTTAAGTGATATTTGAACCCCCTGATGTCAAAGACTCACCGTGTAGCCCTTCCTGGCACTGATGAACTCTACAACAGTCAGTAGGGCTTAAGTGATATTTGAACCCACCCCCTGACATCTAAGACTCACCGTGTAGCCCTTCCTGGCACTGATGAACTCTACAACAGTCAGTAGGGCCTAAATGATATTTGAACCCCTTGACATCTAAGACTCACCGTGTAGCCCTTCCGGGCACTGATGAACTCTACAACAGTCAGTAGGGACTAAGTGATATTTGAACCCACCCCCTGACATCTAAGACTCACCGTGTAGCCCTTCCTGGCACTGATGAACTCTACAACTGTCAGTAGGGCTTAAGTGATATTTGAACCCTCTGATGTCAAAGACTCACCATGTAGCCCTTCCTAGCAGCGATAAACTCTAAAACTAGGGCCTAAGTGATATTTGAACCCCTTGACATCTAAGACCAAACATGTAGCCCTTCCTAGCACTGATGAACTCTACAACTGTCAGTAGGGCTTAAGTGATATTTGAACCCCCTGATGTCAAAGACTCACCCTGTAGCCCTTCCTAGCACTGATGGACTCTACAACTGTCAGTAGGGCTTAAGTGATATTTGAACCCCCTGACATCTAAGACTCACCGTGTAGCCCTTCCTAGCACTGATGAACTCTACAACTGTCAGTAGGGCATTGATGGTGGCACCGCCGCTCCCAACATTAGACTTTGGGTCCTCCACTGTTAACAGGATGACATCCCTGTCTATATAACCCTTGGCCTGTCGGATCTCCAGCTCTGTGAACAGGAAGTTAGCATAAAACATTGTTATAGTAACTGCAATAATCTTCCTTGTATCATGTGTGAATATTTTTCCAGAAACATACTCAGTTCATGTCTTTAATGTGTATTCATCTTTATTTGGGCTTAAATGGATTCATAGTATTTCTAAATAAATATTTTTTTTAAATTAAGATTTAATTTAAAATATATTAAGTTCAAATTCAAGTTCTGTTTATCAAATGTGTTCGTCGCATGGTGAGGCATCTGGGTATTTTGTCATGCCCATGAGATGTGAGGTAAGGTGAAATGGGGTTTAACGTCTCGTTCAAGATTATTTCATTTAGATAGAAGTACACCATAATAACGAATATTAAGGAGATTTTTCTCTGACCTACTACATGCATTAAAACAGCATAATTACAAGTTTTTTCAAATTGTTTTTTGAAAAACTTAGGATAAACTTGGTTAAACAAGAAACCAACAAAGGCTTATCTTATTCGACGTAATACGTGCCCAAGGTGCTCTCAAAATTATAAATAGGGGGCTCTTATTAGAATATAATTTTGGTGAGAAAAAACAGAGTTGAAAGATCGTAAATTTTGTGGTTTATGCTGACAACCTAAGGTGATACAAAAGAAAACTCTGTGCGTATTATACACGACAGATATATCTTTCCAGAATTTAATTGCCCATAATTAAGGGTGCATATAACACACGAGTTAGTATTATACACGAATAAGTCTTGTGTACATTGATCAGTCGGAAGGGGTGGTAATTGTGATTGTTCACTAGCCAGTATATTAGCAAACATCACCGTTGGCGCTTATTAGTGCGGGGCACTTATTACGTTGTTTACGGTAATTGCTGTTTCGTCTCACCTTTCTGTAGAGCCTGTGTGTGTGTCTTGTTGGCACACGTGAGAACTATTGCTGTCCATTTTACCCTCCGGGCCGGACTTGCCATTCCTTATATTGAAAAATAAATAATGATTATATTAAAACTGTGACATCAAAATACATGTTGATCACATCTGATGACACTTCTCTATCCTGAAATTGGGCTATTAAGTTCTGTAGCTCATCAGATTCCTTCTTGTGTGTGACCAAAATAATAAAGTGTTCCAAAATTGTTTCTCAAGGAATCCATACAAATATGCCCAAAGAAAGAATTTTGTCTCATGGCAATCCTTGATTTTGGGTTTTGTCAACTTTAACAAAAATATTTCTTTGATTGTTGTTTGGGTTTTAAAGTCCCTTAAATTCTGTCTTGTTGTAATAAGAGTGAGTAAGCGAATATTGTTTTATGCCCATTTAAGAAATATTCCAATATCACCAGAAATGTGCTTCACACATTTTACCCATGTGGGGAATCGAACCCGGGTCTTCGGCGTGACAAGCGAACACTTTAACCACAAGGCTACCCCACTGCCCCGTCTTGCATTGAGACCACAGAGGTACATGAGTAGTCCACAGGGGAGATCACTCTTGCACCCCTCCACATACACCAGTACTCATCTTTATTACTTCACTTCCATCTGCCATCACCTAGAGGGGGCAGTGGGGTAGCCCATTCACTCACTCCATCACCTATGAATCAAAATCGGCCACTTTTCAGTGAAGTCGCCAAACAATTAAGCCATATCGGGGGAAACCAGCAAGTGCTGTGACCAATGAGCTTTCAGATTACATCACACAAGTCCCATGAGGATTCTGGGTTAGAATAGGTCTTCAACAACCCATGCTTGTCGTAAGAGGCAACTATGCTTGCCGTAAGAGGCGACTCTGCTTGCCGTAAGAGGCGACTCTGCTTGTAAGAGGTGACTGGTCAGGGTCAGTGACTTGATTGATGCATGTCATCATATCCCAATTGCGTGGATTGATGCTCACGATGTCAATCACTGGATTGTCCAGACTCGATCCAAGGCGTGTATCTCGCTGACCCTTGCAGCAGTAGCCAGGGCTAGAAGAAAGACTGTCTTGAGTGTGATCTGTTCAAAGCCAAGGGTTCATTCATATTCAAGTGGTGCGTTGGTTGAAAGGGCTGCAAGGGGAACTCCTGAGCAGACGTTCATTTTGGATAACCACCTATGTAGATGGCCGTACATTTGCAATGGGCGCTGAATCGGGACCAGACAATCGTCTATCTGAAGATACGGTGTTAGGAAGCAGTGAATTGGCCACAGTTGGAGTCGACCTCACTGGGTGAGGGCTTGTGCCCATGTCAATAGATGAAATGACAAATAATGAAGAACTTTATTCAAGGTTTAAGTTGTGGAAACAGCAGTGTGAACTTTTGTTTACTGGACCGATGTTCAGAATGGATGCAGTAATGAAATGTAAATTTCTTCTGTACTGGTCAGGCACTGTAGGACTTGAGATTATTGAGAATTGAGATCTTGCAAATTATTGGACAAAATTTGTAGACTATGTGAAACCACATTCAAATGAATTAATGGCAGCATGGGAGTTACATCACATGAGACAGGGCAGTATGAAGTTAGAAGAATCTTTTGCAAAACTCAGGACACTGGTTAATGAAGCAAATTATCCACAAGAAGGAAAGAAGTTCTTAAGAGACTTTCTATTTTTCAGGATGAAGTCTGATAGGGTGAGAAAAGAATGCTTAAAACTTGGAAACATTTGATCAAACTCGAAGAATCAGCTGATATACAAGTCAGATTCATGGGTGCAACTAATTCAGGTTCTACAAACATGAACATTGATGCCATTAATTCTAAATTCAGAAACAAAACTGACACTACCGATGGCGCTGCGAATGTAGCGGGACGTGTTTGAAATCGCTCCTAACAAATCCGCTGAAATCTAAGTGAAAATGGGCCCATCTACAAGAAATAAGGGACGTAAAGAAAGTGGAAACAATAAAACTGGTTCAAATCAAACCTTGGACGAATTTGTGACAAACAGGGACGAGTCAGCTGCAAAAAATGTCAGTGAAAATAATGAGGATAATGGCGCCACCATGACACCCGAAATCATTGACGAGTTGAAAGGATTCATCTCTGCAACTACGAACACTCAAATGGACGAAATAAACAGGATATTTTAAGAGAAACTTGATGGAATTGTGGCTTGTGTTGAAATGAATTCCATGGAAATAAAAGAAAACCAGATTGAAATAAGTAAGCTGAAACATGAAATGGAGGAAATGAGTAAAAGTTTTGAGAGAAAACTTCTTGAACAAGAACTGCATTCTCGTAAATGCAACCTGTTGTTATAGGGTATTCCGGACAATGAAAACCCGAAGACGGCAACACGAGCTCTCTTGGAAGAGTTGGAGATACCCTTGGCACAGACCATGCATTTTGCCACGATACACAGGTTACCCCTGTGTGGCTAATACATCGCAATCAGCTGACAGGCCCAAGCCGATCCCAGCAGTGACAATTCACAGGACGTAATTAGTGTTTGAATGACATTGTTTATACACTTAATATACAAGTGCTGCTCAATAAACAGTGGTGAGGAATACATCAGCGTATGTCTAAGTTGATATTTTTGCTATCCAAAATGTCTTATTGTTGATATAAATGCAATGTTTAAAAACGCGAGCAAAGACCACACGCATTTTTCGCATTTAATTCACGCTCGCGTTAATTTCAAGATTTACAGAATTGAATTTACAGTGATAATTAATGTATTGTTGAACTATTAAGAAAACTGTTTGTATCACTCGTATTTGATTCATGCTGAACTAGGATTTATGGCTTTTTTAATTTTAGCAAGAATAACATTTGATTGCATTATTTTATGATTTAAAAAACTAAACGAGTTCTTCTGCTAAAAGCACAAACTTGTAGACTTACCCACGTGGACCATCCAATTATAGAACATCAGGTGATGAACACGTGACTTTATATTTAGGCTTTAATGCATTCATGTGAACTATCGTAAGGTGTATGAACATCATTTCTAATATAGTTCCATAGAATTACGTCCTCGGAAAGGATATAGTGATAGTTAAGTTTGAAGAAGCGAATAAGATCCTTATTTATCCACGTACAATTGGTGAACGTTGGAACATGATAAATGGCTCTAGTGCTGTGTTTGACTTGGTGTGGAGTAGAAAGTATCTTACTATAAATAGACTCACATGATTAATCATGTGACCATCTTCCCGAGGCAAGGGAGTTAACTGACTATAAAAGTCCAGTTTCCACCCTTGCCGAACTAGGCTGGTATTATGGAGGTTACAATTTGGCTGGACTAACGAGTCTATGCATAGTCCAATCAAAATCGTGCAACGAAATCGAAATCCGGTTCGTAAACTGTCATGCAGATTTCGGTCGATTGCAGGATTTGCAAAGCATGTGCACTGCCAACTCGTTGTCAACAGATATTTCCAAGTCTTTTTCATGTTTTTAATCAAGGTGCTCACGTGATTTGATGCATTTCGCGACTTTTATCACAATATAGGTCTTGATTATCGAGCAGATCGTCCTTACTTGGCACCGCCATTTTGTTTGAAGCAAATGCGAGTGATACGAGAGGTGGAATCTGATTGATCCATAGGAGAGGCTTAGAAGGGACATAACTGGTAATAGCCACTGGTGGCGCTACGATCGAGCCCAGGAATTCCAGCCAAGTTCGGCAAGGGTGGAAACTGGACTTTTAAAGTCAGTTAACTCTCTTGCCTAGGGAAGATGTCATGTGACAAGCATGTGTACCTTTTTACTGTCTGGTTTCAACTTTTCTTTTATTTGATGAGTGCAATTCTCAACAAAGACATTATGATAGATCTAAACATTATATACATGTATGGTTAGTAAGGTTATGGAGCCAGCTACAGTTTTATATTGGTCCCGGGCAATTTTGCACTAATGAGTGTTAGAGATATCCAGTGACCAAGTAGATTTGATGGAATAAGATCAAGGTATCTGTTTATCATGACACTGCAAAAATATGTGACTTATATATGGTTTACCTATATTTCTTTGCACTCTGATTGTGGATGGATGGGACAGATTTTACCTGGTCGTGTAGATTTATTTTATGATGGGGAAAGGTACCTGTCTACCAATATTTATACTTCCAAATTTGACTTGGATAATTGTTTAGACAAACTTTCAAACTGACTTGGTATCGAATTTAGCTAGGACTTTGAACAAGTCTTTGAAGGTTTACATTATTAACTTTAGGGGAGAAGGGAGACTACATCCTTTGAGATTAATGCTATGTTTTTCATTTTGATTCCATGAGGCGTGTGGGTACCTTTAAATATTTATGAAAAAGTTTTAGTTTTGTTTGAGTGTGGGAAACGCTATCAATCTCATTAAAATCAGATCTTAGTTCTCGCTACCGCTAAACAAAGATCTGAGGACATCTGAGGGATTGTATAGCATGGTATAGATTTAGTCGTTAAGCCTGTAACTATCGTTCGGAATACCCTGTTTTAAAGTTTTCGAGGTTGCATGATTAGAAATCACATTCTGACTGTCACTTTCATGATCTGGTAAGTGACGCTCTGATTGGTCAGATGAAAGGTCTTTCTTACGTGACCCGTAATGGGATGTCCTCAGATCTTTGTTTTGCGGCAGCGAGAACTAAGATCTGATTTTAATGATATTTGAAACGCTATATGATGGAAAACCGGTTAAGCAATTTTTATGTTTGTATTGTATATTTTCTTGATGTAAATTTTGAATTTTATGAATACAATGTGTACCTTTTCACTTTTATCTCTCCCTTAGGGAAATACATTGGAAACATCCAAATATATGACTATGAAGGAAAAAGTTAAAGTTATATCTTATAATTGTAGAGGCCTAAATAATCCATTAAAGAGCAAAAAGGCATTTAGGTTCTTGCGAAAGCGTAAAGCACAAATATATTGACTGCAAGATGTACACTTTACCGCAGAGCAGGAACAATTAATAAAGCAGCGATGGGGATACAGGGATGGTTACTTTAGTCCTTATAAAAGTAATGCAAGAGGCACAGCTATGTTA